TTTCACATGATTTTTTCTCCCCCCACCCCCCCAAAAGAGGAAACGGCATGAGGCAGTCTGGAGCAGTGAGAGGGGGCATTACCATGCTGTGGTGGAAAGATGAGGCCAATATGAATTTGTAAAAATATTGATGCCAGGGCTTAAGCCTACCTGAACCATGCTTATCACTTCTGCAAGATCAACATCGGTGCATGAGAAGCTGTGGCTTACAAGTCCTTAGGAATTGTGTGCTGCATACTGGGATGAAACTGTTCTGCAATGTTATTTCACATATCTAAATCCCCCCCCCTTCCCATTTATCTTGCCTCCTCTCTCTATTGGACTTCCAATATGGCAAAGGCTTTTCTATTCTGCAGGCCAGACGTACCTTTCGCCTATTCTTATTGCTGTATTGCTCTTAGTTTTTCAGCTGGCTGCCTGTTTTTACCATTTCTTTGATTTTGCATGTATTTGCATTTTAACCGTTTTCTTATGAACTACTTTGGTTTCTTTCGACAAGTGGTGTATACATATATCGTAAACTGAAATAAAACATTGCCACCACTTGTTAGAAGATAGCTGTTGAGAGGTGGTGTGGTAGCGGAGCGTGTGAAATCCACAAATCAGCTCTTTCAAGAGGCTGCCTTGGCCTGCCTGTTGCAGTCAGCACTTGCCTTGTGGGAATGGATACAAGCCTGCCTTACGGAGCTGCTGTAAGGATTATGGAGCTAGTGCTTATGAAGCTTTTGGAAAATTTAAAGTGCAATTTAAACGTTAAGTATCATAACAGGAGTCAGCTCAGATACCGAGGTGAAGCCCTACTCAAGTGTTAAGCCCCTGGATGAGAGCAGGCATGTGTTTACTTTGAAACAATTTTCTGTCCCTTCGACAAAAAGATTTTGTCAGCGACTGTCAAGAGGTGTGATCCTCTACTCTGTTGAAGATTTGATGGCTCCCTCCATGCTGATTTGCCTTCTCAGTCCATTAGATCTATGCACAGCAGTAAGGAGGCAAAGTAGTTGAAGAAGCCTGATCTTGTCCTATAACAATGAACCTGTGTGCAGAGGTAGCATCCCAGAGAAAAGGACCCTGAATAAGTAACAAGCTTGTGTTTTGTAGGTAGCCACTTTTGCAGTGGAAACATTCCAGTAGGCCTTGGAAGTTTTCCTGAAGCTGAGAAGGCAAGGGAACCTCTTCTGTTATATCTACCTATCTAAAAGACTTGGTGAAAAATTAAGCTAAGATCAACAACAACAACAACAACAACAACAATCAAAGTACATAATGGAAAGTCTGTGGGATCTTGATGCCTGTGCTTCTAGGCCAGGGGCCACCTGCACTGGTCATATATTTTTGCTGAGCCTGAACAAAGATGAAAACAGGACCAGCTCCTCCCTGTGAGCAGTTCCAACCAGTGAGAGGAAATGGAAGCAGCCGTGCAACAGGCACACACCGTTTCAGATCATTAGCATTTGACCCTTTTTGTTGGCTTCTGGCAGGCAGAAGCTAGGGATGATGATGGGCTGCTTTTCTTTTTTCAATACTCAGGCTTTTAGGGGTTTCCCCCCTCCATCTGCTTAGACATGACTGTTCTTTTTTCCATAGAAATATTGTGAAGTAGCTAAAGCTTGGGGGTGGAATCCTGCTGATAATGGCAGAGCAAATTTGAAAAGCACTTTCTGCTTCTCCCTCCCCCAGATACACAGCAGAGGTTGCGGATAGCCAGGCCTAGTGCATTTTTGTTTGACTGTCAGCTTCTTCCAGCTGGCATTGGGGGGGGGCTCCTCATTACAATGTCTCTCATTCTGAAATTGGGGAGTATCCCGTGGAGAATTAATTAGTTCCGTGTTGCCCGCTCTTCTGTGAGAATTGAGCTGAGGCTGAGGAGAGTAGGCAGAAGGAGCAGGGATGTGGCCCCTCTGAAGCCTTGCGTCAGGGATGTGGAGGTTAGGAAGAAGACGAGCATAGGAAACTGCCTTATGCTGAGTGAGACCTTTGGTCCATCTAACTCAGTGTTGTTTACACTGACTGGCAACTGCTCCGGAATTTCTGACTAGGATCTCCCTCATCTTTGCCTGAAGTTGCCAGGGATTAAGACTAGGACCTTCCAGAAGATGCTGTCCCACTGAGGTGTGGCCCTTTCCCAAATGGACCATAAACAGATGCTGTTGAACTACAGCTCCTGTCAACCTCAGCCAACATGACTAGTGGCCAGGGATGATGGGAGTTGTGGCCTTCCAGGTATTGCTGCAGCTTGTACGTTTCCCATCTCTGCTTTAAGCTAACCAGAGAAGCACTGTTGCATCCCCATGGCATTTGGAGTTTCTGGTAGGAAATATTAGGGGCTTTTCTCTTTGGAACCCCGGAGAATTTTCATTGAGAATGTTCTGGAAGAGGGGTGCCGCCTAATGTGAGCAAGCCCCCAGCTTTATTTATTTAAGACTGGACCTCTTAATTGTTTCTGCTTCTCTGTTGCGTCTGTAGTTTTAGTAAGTTAAATTGATATTTGTACTGTTCCTACATTTTGGTTATCAAGTTACATAAGCCACCCTGAGGGCACTCTGGGGCCATATGGCGGGGGTATCAGTATAATAAATGATAAAGGAGAAATGGGATAAAAGGCACTTTGCTGCTGTTTTTCAGTTCTGCTACTGAGTGCCTGTGTCTGATCTTAATGCCATTAATGGAAACTTGCCATCAAAAGGCATAATGCAGAGTATCAAGAGAAAAATTAAATTGTTTCCTTCTGCCCATGGAAAATGTATGCAATTCCCGTAGCGTTAAAATAATAGTAATAGTAATTTATTATTTGTACCCTGCCCAACAATGATTAAAAATACATGAAAATGTCACACATTAAAAACTTCCCTGAACAGGGCTGCCTTCGGATGTCTTCTAAATGTCAGGTACAGTGGTGCCTCGCAAGACGAAATTAATCCGTTCCGCGAGTCTCTTCATCTTGCGGTTTCTTCGTCTTGCGAAGCATGGCTATTAGCAGCTATTAACGGCTTAGCGGCTTTAAGAAAAAGGAAACAAACTCGCAAGAACTCGCAAGACGTTTCGTCTTGCGAAGCAAGCCCATAGGGAAATTCGTCTTGCGGAACAACTCAAAAAACGGAAAACTCTTTCGTCTAGCGAGTTTTTCGTCTTGCGAGGCATTCGTCTTGCGGGGCACCACTGTAGTTATTTATCTCTTTGACATCTGCTGAGAGGGCGTTCCACAGGGCGGGCGCCACTACCGAGAAGGCCCTCTGCCTGATTCCCTGTAACTTGGCTTCTCGCAGTGAGGGAACTGCCAGAAGGCCCTCGGCGCTGGACCTCAGCGTCTGGGCAGAACGATGGGGGTGGAGACGCTCCTTCAGGTATACTGGGCCGGGGCCATTTAGGGCTTTAAAGGTCAACACCAACACTTTGAATTGTGCTCGGAAACGTACTGCAAATATAAAGACAATTCCTCTCAAAAATAGGACATGAAAAAGGGCTGGAGAAAATGGAAGCTGTTATGAATAAGGACCAGGTCACAGAACATATTTTGTCTACATATGAGCAGCCAGAATCATCTTCAGCCACATGCTTGCAATGGACAAACATAATGTGTGATCATACAGCTGGCACCAAGTCCCTTAATTATGGCAGCACTTATTTCAGTCACTGTGGTTGTAGGAATTGCTGCTAATTCTCTCCATGATTTACCCCCTTTTTACATTGCATTACATTTGCATGAATGGTGGGGGAGGGTTGTTGCTGTTATTGATGTTAATTTTTTGTATCTTTATTTTAGATCTTATGATTTATGTGGAAATAGTTCACTTTGGTTGTATATTTTTTGATATTTTGTTTATTGTTTGTGACCACTTTTGTTATGCTGTAATTATGTATTTTTTCCTGTTGTAAGCCTCCTTGAGTGTGGTTTGGCCTATGGAAAGGCAGCATACAAACAAAATTATGTCTGTAAGCATACAAGAAGTGATCAGGACTTGTAGCAGTAGCATCAAAAAAGTATTTTATGAATCTCCTTCCTTGTTAGTCTCTAGACCATTTAAATAAAAAATAGCTTTAAAAACAATGCAAAAACTGATAACTGAAGATAGGTGTGTGTGTTCTGTATTGTTTTTAAACCTCAGGCAGCCATGTTGAAAGCCCTGCTCCAAGTAACTATAGAGCAGGCTTCTAAAAAACTAGAATCTTCAAGGAGAAATTCTCCTGCAGAACGCAGTGACCTTCTGAGAATACAAGGAGTAAGATGGTCTCTCAAATAACTGGGTAATATGCAAGTAATATGCAAGAATTGCCCCCCAAAACGTCTATGAAATTGCCTAGCAATGACAGTTAATTTTCAACATTGATAATAATCATTCTTCATTGTTGAGAGAGAAAACTTCATCATAACACATGAAAGAGCAAAGCAGGCATTCTGTGTCACTAGTAGTAGCCCATTTTTTCGTGTGCAAAGTGTTTATCTCATTTTGTCTTTTTTTGCATTGGCCATGTGAAAGGCTAAGTTAGTCAAGACAGGGAGGGGTGGGGTTTGAAGCCTGTCCAAACTACACTCTTCATCATCTGCACTGTTCTGACAATGTATTTTAAAGCAAACTATTAAGCATTCATTTAACTGGGCCTGAATAATGAATATCCATTTCTTGCTTCGTGCCCGTGCTTCGCTTTGCCTGCTCATTGTTTACATAATTCCTTAAAAGGGCTCTAATAAGAGGGCTTTAATCCCCTTCAGGGCTTCTGGGTGGGTGTTGAGGGCTGTCCACATTCCTGTAATGACAGCAATCTGCAACTAGCTGGGTCTTGTATCAGCAGAAGAACTGAATAGACCGCTGACCTTGACTACCAGGTGCCTTTGCTGTAGCTGCTTTTGCTTTGCTCCAGAGGCTCTTGCGTCGTCATGCTGTGATGCTGTTAACTGTGCCATGGTGTCAAGTAGCATTAATGGCAAATAGTTGTGTTAAGGGTGGGGCTGAGGAGTTCATCCAATATTCATGTGCTTTATATCCAATTCTCTTCTCTTTCAGGCCGCTGTGTTTTGAGGGAACCCTGAACCGGGGTTGACCAGAAGATGACCGAGTACAAGCTGGTGGTAGTTGGGGCAGGAGGCGTAGGGAAAAGTGCTTTGACCATTCAGCTTATCCAGAACCATTTTGTTGATGAGTATGATCCCACGATAGAGGTAAGCACCTGCTCATGTTCAAAACTAACCCATAGACATTTATTTTTAATCTCCCTCCCCCTTTAGCCTTGGTTGTCTTTGCATCCATCATGGGCTCCTACGAAAGCAGTCAAATACAAAGCTTAACCCAACTTCAGAAGCAGTTTATAGAAGAAAAGCAAAAGCTCTCCTTCCTTGCACAGTAGCAGGCCCTCAATGGAATAATAAGCACAGGAGGAGAGATGCTGTGGAGGAGACACAAAGTCAATTTGAAATCAATCCTACTTGAAAGAGAATGGCTGGCAAAAAAATATTTACAAGCCACCATGAGCTCCACCACTTTTTGAGCTTGTGGCGACTTTAATTATTGCCATGCTTTCTCCTTGTGGATAAGGTAGTAGCCAGAGAGTTTGCAAACCTGAGTCACCTCTGGTGCAAGTTTTGTATGTTAATCTACACATTCAATAAATTCACAAGACAGTCATTCTGAAACAGTACAACTCCAGCTTGCCAGTGGGAGATTGCAAGAGTTTTTTAATGGTCTCCATGGGAAAAATCTCTGCATGTGAGAAATCGGGGAGAGGTGTGTTTGCAGTGGTGGGTATTGTGATTGTCCCTTTCACCTGCAGTCATTGCTCTTGGCATGCTGTTCATAAAACACATATGGTTGGTTGACTGACCAAACCCAAAGAGTGCTCATCCTGGGAAAAAGTGACAAGTGGGGTTCTGCCTCAGGGTTCTATCCTGGGCCCGGTGTTGTTCAATGTCTTTATAAACGACTTGGATGAAGTTATAATTGAGGGGATGCTCATCAGATTTGCAGATGATGCCAAACTGGGAGGGGTAGCCAATGCCACAAAAGACAGAATTGGGATTCAAGATGACCTGAACAGATTAGAGAAGCTATACCGATGGCTTCAAGTTATAAGAAAGGAGATTCCAACTAAACATCAGGAAGAACTTTCCGATGGCAAGAGCTATTCGACAGTGGAACAGCATCCCACGAGAGATGGTGGGCTCTCCTTCCTTGGAGGTTGGATGGCCATCTGTCATGGATGCCTTAGTTGAGATTCTTGCATTGCAGGCGGTTGGGCTCAGGGTCCCTTCCAATTCTACGGTTCTATGAGATACACACCCACACTTACTTAGGTGGAATATAAATAGCTTAAATAAAAACATTTTTATATACACACCCACTCACACCTCCAAACCCTACACACACACACACATGTACATGTGTATGCCACATACATATGTGCACACCTGCATATAACCTTTGGGCTTCCTTCAGCAATCTCATGTGGCGTCTGTCCCAGATTTTCCTTGCAAAGAGAGAAGTTGAAAGATTGCTTTTGCATCACCCTGATACAGAATGTTTCCCTCCATAGCCTTGAGGGGCTAAAGTGTTATATAACCCAGAAGCTATCTTTCTCCCCCCCCCATAGGTTGTCTGGGGAAGAACCATTGGGGGTGCAATAAAATGGGAACAAAGATACCTGGGAGTTGGAGTTCTTATAAATAAATTTTGCTAAATAAGTGCAAAATAAAGTGAGAATTGGTGACTTCTTTGAGGCCTCTTGCATTCATTCACATTTGCTAAGGTCATTCCACCAGCATTTAAGGATTCCAAAGGTGCTTAACCAGGCATAAGGAAACTCCAGCCCTCCAGATGTTTGGGACTACAACTCCCATCATCCCTAGCTAACAGGACCAGTGGTCAGGGATGATTTCCCAGACCTTAAATATGGTCCTCAAAACCTGAGACCTCATCAGCATTTTTAAGGTTCTAATTGTTCATTTAATGAGGTGTTGATATCAGTAGTGTAAAGCAGCACATCTCCCACATTTTCAGAATTTGTACTTACAGAACTGATTTATATAGACCATCTCAGAGATGATCTCATCAGCAGACTTTCCATTCTTTACAACCTTTGGCCCTTTTGTTGTTGGGGTGGGGGAATGTATTTTTTCCTTCAGATTTCTGAACTTGGAACTTTCTTCAGCTGTTGGAGCATTATTAAAATTTGCTTTTTGACTAAGATAAGCATTAAAATACTTTCTTTTTGGTAGAGAGTTGGTTTTGCTTCCTCTGTGTCTCTCTTCTCTTATTTTGCTTTTATTTACTACCTGCAGTTCTTCCAGTACAATGAAAACGTGCTGAGTAAAGCTTATTCATATAACCCCAACCACTGCCTAGCATCAGGCATTTTGATTAGGGGAAGGAGGGAGGGAATGGGGTCGGCACTGTGACACAGTCGCGGACTATGTTGCTTTAAGTTCCGGTGTCACAGCAGCGTTGGGAAACTGGGTCTAGCTGGTGGGCTGAACCTTTATCTCCCCTGGGGGCCAAGTTTAACATCAGGTGGCATGTTTTTGCCTGTGTGGGTTAGCAGCTGATTGTCTGGGCTTGCAAAGCACCTCCCTTGGAGCTGTGCAGGCCCCAACTGTCAGTTGATTGGCAACGCTTGCAAGCCCTCCTTTGGCCCAGTTGTGTCTTTACTTCTCCCACCCAAGTGTAGGGCAGGTGGTTGTGGTTTGACCAAAGCAGCCTCATGGCCCAAGTGGTCTCAGAATATAACATCTGGTGTAAGGCAGGTGAGTGTGACTTGGCCAAAACTACCTTGTGGGCCTGATTACTTTTGCAGATTGGAGCTTCCCTCAGGGGTCTTCTCTTCCTTATGAGCCCCTTGACTGGTGTGAGCTGATGTTCCCTTTTGGTTTGTTTTTAAAACATCTGTGCTCTTGCTGCGCTTCCAAGCAGTCTAATCAGTCGCAGGATTCTCCTACCATGCTGAATCCCAGTTAGTCTTTTAACTGCAAAAATGGTGGCTGGGAAAAACGGGGGGGGGACAATGGATTTGGCTAATAATGACAAAATGGACAAACTGGATACGTGTGCATGTTTACTAAAAAAACAAGTCCCTTTTTGTGAATTGATATGTACTCCCAGGTAACTGCATAGGATTGCAGCCTTACTCAGTTGTTTTTGGAATCAAAAAGTTCAGTGCTAAGGATCTGTATATGCATTGGTTCTGTTTTCTTTGTGAGAAGTTGATGTAAATGCAAACATGCAATTATTATGCAATTACATTATGATGTGAATTATGCAATTAAATTATGATGTAAATGCAAACATCTTCTACGGAAACAATTAGCAGGATAAGGCTATCATGTAATTAGTGATCTAGTAATATGGGGTATGTCTGCAAATGATTGCCTTGTGCATTGTAGAATCGAATATTTCAGGTGCAGCTGCAGAATCCCGAGAACCTTTACTTGATTTAAAAAAGGCCACATCTCTAGCCTTTTGGTTGCGAAGAATGCTTTGAAAACATGCTCATTTAGCCTGCTTACAGATTAAGGGCTGGTTGTGCAATGACTGGGAGCGAAATGTGTAAACTGTTTTATGTGGTGTGTGTAATCTGTGTTAGAAAAAGTTTCACATGATCATGTCATTAGGTACTGAACCAGTTGAGAGATGAATGTGCAGGTGGGAACTTGCCCTTAGAAGCCAGAAAGGGTCTGTGAAGGTTTCTATACTGTGATCTAATTTGATATCCCTTATTTTGATTGTGGGGATTTGGGTATTCTTTTGGAGAGGTTTCCTCCCCTCCCTCAAAAGTAGATGTACGCACCCTCAGCCTGAGCCACACTGAAGCAAGCTGCATCTGTATACAAAGATGGGAACACAGTGCTGGAGCAACCAAAGAGACCATTTCCATTACGCTTCTGAAAAGCCATTGGGGAGGCAGCTGATACATTATTGATGGGGTTATATAAATGCCTCTCTCTCTCCCCCTCTCTCATGAAAGAGTGAGATGCCAGTCACCTTGAAAGCAGCTGGCATCAAGCCAAGCAATCACTCAATGTTCTTGGGCTTTTCAGTTATTGTTCTGTCTCCCAGGTCCCCCTTGGAGAGTTAGTTACTAGGATGGTCACAGTGAAGCATATCTTAGAAGCATATCTGGGCAGTTTCTGAATATTTAAAGAGTGGACTGTGGGATTCAGCAGCTGATATATATACCTTTGTTTGTGTCAGAACAGTAACACTCTAGTGAATTAATAGGTATGCTTCTGGTTTCCAAAGGAATTTGGAGGCCCCTTCTTAATGTTTGGTTCTTTTTGGAAGTCAGGCCGTTCACTTCCTTGCCCCTTGGTTTTCTTCCAGGAGCAAGGGGCAGCTATGCACAGTGTACATTATTCAGATAGTTCTGGGGTAGTGAGGCATATGGTGGAAGTGTGCATGTGCCTTATCCTCGGTGTTGCTGTGTTCTGCTGCTGCCTTCTTCCCTCAGCTCTAGCAAGCACACTTTCACTTTTCAGGTTGCTAGGCAGAAAGTTGAAAACCAGAAACTCCAAGGTAGTGTACTAAAGGAGGAAAAGGAGATCGCATAAAAGCTGAATGAATTTATTTGCCTCTGACTTTACTGTGGAAGATAAGGGCGGATGAACTGTGTGTGAACTCACTTTTTCAGGGAGTCCATAGCCCTTCAAAAGTTGTCATCACAGAAGTACCTGGTAAATTACTATATCCCATTTAGAAGTATTTCTCAGAACAGCTAATGCCACAAATGAGTTGGGATTGTTAAAACTGTTGGGGATTTTAGGGACAATTCTCTCAGAATTTGAGAGAAAATGGGTTCTTGGCCTTTGGGAATGGAAGGAAGCCTTTCCAGTCAGTGTATTTTATAGCCATGCAGAATGGAATGCTAGAATAGACCTATTGGGTGTTCTCATAGGTGTGACTTAGTCATGATGTGCTGTATTGTGGATATAGGCACACAGAAAATGCTTATGCTGCACATGAACTCCATTCAGTGCTTGCCACGCTATATTTACTAACTGGCCTGTATGTGGTGTGACCACAGGAGATGATTGTGACTCTCCCTTGAGCAAAGCTGCTTTTAGAAGGATTAGTATACACTAAATACAGCTAAGAAAATAGGTGCGTTAAGGCTGGGCAGCTCTGGTGTCAAAGGCATACCTTGTCTGTCCTGAGGCAGCCCTGTCAGTTCCAAGAACAGGGCCTTGGCTGTATTAGTTGCTACTCTGGCACCAGAGGTGTCACCTATTCAAATGTTCCTCTTTCCATTTTAAGAGACTGGCTTTAACCAGCAGGGTAATTGAATCGAAATCCACTCAGACTGAGACGGCTTCCTGACCTGTTAACACCCTCCTGCTCTTTAAATTAAGGTGTAAGAATTGCTTTCTGCTAGATAAAAAGTCCATACCCCCCTCCTGCCACCAGGAAGTCTAAAGGCAGGCCCACCAACCACCGTAGACCTGTGAGATGGTTCTTTGGAGGAAAAGACTATAGTGGCTATAGTATTATGTTCAATAAAGTCCTCCCTTCCTGCTAATTTCCCCTTTCTTACTGTGTGATTCTCTTTATTATTGAAGGTACTGATGCTGGCAGGCTAACAGAATATGTCCTGCATTCCCTGGGACATTTGAGCATCCTCTTCCACAGCAATTCATGAATTGAATTTTAAGTGGAAACAGAGCTCCTGTAGGAGAGGCCAGTGCTGCACAGAAGTGTCCATATGCAGAAGGGCTTAACGTGGTCATTAGGCAGACGCAGCATGGACTTAACAATGGATAGATTTGATGGGACAGGAGTGAGCATCAGATTCAAGAAGGGAGAGACTTTGATAAGAAATGAGTCTTGTGTAGGAACCTGGAGGAGGAGGTGGCAGTGGCAAGATAAAGAGAGAGCTAAACTGACCTAAATTCACCCCTCTTTAAAATTCCTACTCACTAGATTTGGGTGAGTCCAGCAGTTGAGCAGCATCTCAGTTGTGTTTTTCAGATGAGTGCCTTCTAATCTAATTGGCTCCATCAGTAACTAGGGAAAGTAAGCTAGGACTATACATCCACGAGCAAGGGAGGACCCCAGCTGAGATGATGTCTCAGCCCAGTGATGAAAACATCAAGTCAAGGTAACAAGCAAGTTAAGCAGCTGGAGGGGAGGGGGTCGGGTTGGCAGTAGAGCAAGGAGACCAGGGCATGCTACTCTTCCATTGGTTCCGTCACTAAGGAGAGAAGCAGAAGGAAAACAAAAAGGTAGGATTCAGGATTGCCATAGGCGAAGTAAATGAAATACAGATAGAGGAGATACGCTGGTGCTTGCTTGATTGCTCCTCTTCTAATGCCTCTTAATTCTCCTATGGCCCTGCAGGATTCCTACAGAAAGCAAGTCGTCATTGATGGAGAGACCTGTTTGTTAGACATCTTGGACACAGCAGGCCAAGAAGAGTACAGTGCCATGCGAGACCAGTACATGCGGACAGGAGAAGGCTTCCTTTGTGTCTTTGCTATTAACAACACCAAGTCCTTTGAAGACATTCATCAGTACAGGTCAGTAGAAGTGAGCTGAGCAGCAGAGGGCATTGTATCATATTCCTTTTGAGAAGGAAGACCTGGAGGGGAGGGACCATGCTGACTCCACTTTCAGATTATGCTGTTCTACAATTCCACCACCCGAAAAATGGAGCTTTTACCCGATGATCAAGTTCAGCAGCTGGCTAATAGCAGTTGTTATTATCCCAAGGAGACTGCTGATGGGCCAGGGTGAGAGCTCAGTAATGTAGCATTTTAATGTTTCTGGGAGGTTAAGAGGAGAAGCAGCTTCTCTGCTAATTAATGGAGCAGTAGTTTTCGTGAAAGGGATGTTGTGGTGTCTTTCCTTGAGATCCATGCTTTTTCTTTCCGGCCTGCTCACGATATATATTGCTCAGACAATGCAGATTTTGCACTAGAAAACCTGGTTCCCACATGAACTGTGCAAATTAAGCACATTAGTTTGCACAATTTATTCTGCTTCCCCCTTTCTTACTAGACATGGGGTAGGGCAAGAAATTCCTGAGCAATGAAGTTCTGTTCCCAGTCTCTGTTAAAAAAGTAACCTGCTCTTTCTCTAGGTTTCAAGATTTCAGATGGCATTGCCTATATATATTTAAGCATATTTATGCAACTATAAGGGCCTCTCTTCTGCCTTATATTTGAAACGGCTCAGGGGTTCTCTTTTTCTTGATCTGGAAAGACTCTGCTATGGCAATGTTTGAGAGCTGTGACTGTAGAGTGGCAAACAGGGTCCCACTGTGCTGAGCAGGAAGAACATTGCTCAGGGTGTGAGCACAGACCCTTTGTCAACAACAGACTACACCCAGGCTCAGGGCCATACATCTCCCCAAGCCACCGGGCTGCTGTCCAGGTGCAGGATGTTTCCATGTGTCCCTAGGGAAAGAGCCAGGCCTCTGTTACTCAAACAGATGACTGCTCAACTCCCTACTTCAAAAGATGTAAACACTGAGGGACATTGACTCAAGAGATGCAGGACGGCTTTTCCAAATCACTCTGTCCTCAGATTCCTGATGAGTTTGCTACAAAGCTTTCCTTCAAGAAATGCTACGAGCACACGCGCATAAGCACTAACTTCTTGCTCAGTTCTCAGTGCTGAACATCAGAAAAACAGGGATACCTTGAGTCATTTTTGACCATAAGAAAAAGACAGTGAAATATTCACTTCTGTTTGCACAAATATTTTATACACATCATCCTGCATATTCCCCCCTCCCCTAGTAGGTTAACAAAGCTGCGCTTCTGTTTGTAAATTATTATCATTATTGTTATTGGCTGTTTGTGTCTGCTGAAAGCTCAGAACCCCAAGCATCAGGAAGTGATGGCAGTGGTTCTGCACTTGGGTTGATACCAGGAGACCTCTAGTATAGCTCCCTTGCTGTTGTGTCCTGGCCCCTGTTTCATTTGCCTCCTGTCCCTCCATTTTCTTCCGAAGCCCCACACCTTCCTGTGATAGGCCAGTTCCTCCCCCCCTTTTTCCTTTTTTTTTTTTTTTTTTTTTTGCATCAAGACCATGGATTTTAATTTGTTGGCAGATGTGTGTGGATTGGTAATGTTCCTGGCATTCTTTGAGGGGTGGGGAGGGATTAGACTTGAGCTGCCTTCTGGTGTTTTTCAAATCTGCGGTTCTGCGAGTTCTCACCTTCTACCACTTCAGTGTTTGCTCAAACGCCACCAAGTTCTGCATAAACAAATATTGTGCTAAATTAAATTATGCAAGACATATTTCCCTTGGGACACGAGGCTCTTTCAGTAGTAGCAATGCTGAACAAACACTGCTGAAGTGTCATCGCTACTGTGGAAGTGATGTTGTAGTAAATGGCCAGTGTGAACCTTGGCCTTGATAAACTTCCTTCTGTGTAGAGAATTTGAGTTTATTTAGCCTTTAACTTTTCAAAAGGGGCAGGACACAGATTGCAACCTATATATCTTCACTGTACTGTTTTTGGTGCTTGCTAAAAACTTGTTTATTTAGGCAAGGCCAGAGCGCGCAACCCCAGAGTCGTCCGCGACTGGACCTAACGGTCAGGGGTACCTTTGCCTTTACCTTTTTTACCCAGAAATGTAAAGTTGAGGTGTGTTTTAAGAGGCGCTTTAAAGTATACTTTAAATTCCTGGTTTTATTTACATTTTGAAATGTTTTGATCCATTTCTTTTTAACTTTTGGCTTTTATCGACAATTTTCAGGCATATTTTATTTAAACCGCTTAGATATTTTTTATGTTGAAGTGGTATACAAATTCTGTTAAATAAAATAAACGCAATATATAACCCTACTTGCGAAATTGGGAGGCAGAGAATGTCTACAGCACCATTCTGCTTTGCTTCATCGTCTCTGATCAGGACCTTAAAAATGCAGAAAATGGTGGCTTTTCCTTCATTTGCTCAACTTCTGCTTTCTCCTCTGCAGGGAGCAGATCAAGAGGGTGAAGGACTCTGATGATGTCCCGATGGTATTGGTGGGAAATAAGTGTGACCTTCCAGCCCGGACTGTGGAAACCCGGCAAGCCCAGGAGCTGGCTCGGAGCTATGGGATTCCCTACATAGAGACATCGGCCAAGACTAGACAGGTATGTAGCGGGCAGGCGTGCAATTACTTTCCACCTTTGGAACGAAGAGAAGAATCCAGCCTGTACTCCCAAGAAATGGTCTTTTAGTGTGTTCTTCTAGCTCTCTCCTATGAAAACCGAGCTATAACTTCAGTAGAGGATTTCTAAAGCTTTGGGCGTGTGAACCAGATGGGGATTCTGCTATCCCCATATCACATCTCAGCAAGTTGCAGATTTGGTCTGTCAAATTATTGAGACTGAATGAGCGTTTGGCCCCAATTTTCAGGAAGAGCACAACTTTGATAGTGTAGCCTTCCAAGTTTAGAAGCCTGCTTTGAGTGTTTTTCTGCCCTTCCTCTGGCTGGGAGAAACTGTCCAGCTGTTCTAGTAATGGCAGAAAGCCCTGTCTCCCCACCCTTCTCGTCCACTCCCTTCCTGGTAGCCTGCTTACCTTCATGTGTTGTACAGAAGGATGGATGTTGGGCTTTCCTTTTCCTTTGTATAAGACTGCTGCATGATTGACAGTAGTGAGGCTGGCACCTAGCCCCACTGAGCAAACGCCACACATGTGCTGTCGGTCTCCCAGTGCTCCAGCTGCTAATTACGCAGCAGGTTGTGTGGCCTCTGCTGATGGCCCCTGAGCGCTGGGGAACATAAGTGTGAATTACAGAGGCTGGGATTGAGAATGATTTTTCCATTAAGGCGATGCTCGGATAAAGCTGGCAAGTAGCCTGGCTCAGCTACTGGCTGCAGTCTTCTAAGTGACAGCGAAGACAAGGATTCAGCCGGAGGCAGTGGTTCTCTAGGGACTCTCACTGTGCTGTTCTGTACAAGCCATTTCCTGTGCCCAAGTTTAGGCACCTCTGTGTTCTCTCAGTTAATGGTCTCGCCGCGGAGGCATGAGGTCAGATAAAGTGGGCAGTGCAGAATACACAGAAAGTGCTGCTGTGCTCATGGGAATAACCAGTGCTATTTTTCCAGAAAAAGAGGTGACAGAGCTCACCTCTTGTTCTCTTACAATGGCAGTGGCACCCACCTGAGAGGTGCCTTCTGCCTGGGGGCAAAAAGCACAGGGAAATAGCTGTTTGCCATATCCTTGTATGGCCTGTAGTTTATACCTGGCCCTCTCCATGTGATTCCAGACCCACAGGCAGTACAGATGTTTGTGTGAAGACATAGGTCAGTCTGTGAACCAGTCGCAGGTTGAAATGGTGTGTTACTAGTTCACAACAACAGGGTATTGTGTGTGTTCTCGATTTCTGGAATCAAACATCCATATTTCCAAGTTCTCATCTATACCAGTGTTTCCCAACCGGTGTTCCGCGGCACACTACTGTGCCGTGAGACATTGGCTGGTGTGCCGTGGGAAGGAGGCGGGCGAGTCGGGCGGTGAGAGGCGGCGGCGGCGAGGATCCGCGTTGAGCCGGGGGCGGCTCCGCGGTGGTGGTGCCGAGCGGCGGGGCAGCGCGTGCAAAAGGGAGGAGCGCGAGACAGCGGAGGAGGAGGAGGCCGGCATGTCCAGGCAGCAGCAGCAACAACAGCAGCAGCAACTCCCGGCGACGGCTCCTCAAGCCCCGCCGCCGCCCCCTCCTCCGCCCGCTATCGCCGCCACCACCACCGCCGCCGCCGCCGCCTCAGTTGCCGCCGTCCCTCAGTCCCTCGCTCTGCTGCCTCCTCCCACCCCCAAAGCTTGGAGGTTCCCCGGCAAGGGGGAGGGAAAAAACTTTCACTTTCGTGCGTCCCTCCCGGCGTGACGCTGCGCGCTGACGTCACGGGGCGGGGCTTTAATGGTGGTGTGCCGCGAGATTTTTTTTCAGTAAACAGGTGTGCCGTTGCCCAAAAAAGTTTGGGAAACACTGATCTATACTATAAAGAAGTAGTCTTTGTTTTCTTCACTAGTGTCCATGCATTCAGAACCAACCCCATTGGCAGCAGAGAATGGATTCTCAGTGACTCTTTTGGATGGACTTTTGGTGTTGGTGAATATGTATGTGCGTGAGAGAGAGGAGTTTGTTCTCAAGACACTTTGTTGCTCTCTCACAGGGAGTTGAAGATGCCTTCTATACTTTAGTGCGGGAGATCCGGCAGCACAAACTACGCAAATTGAATCCCCCAGATGAAAGTGGCCCAGGCTGCATGAATTGTAAATGTGTGATATCATGACTAAGGTAAGATGGTGGGGAAATGAACAAAGCATGTAGGGGAAATGCCCACTTCCCCAAATCATCGACTGCAACTTAAGTGCTTGAAGAGTTCCTTTTACCTCCTGAATGGGGCAAAACCAGAAGCAATGAGCATTAAAGGCACTGTGCTGAGTTCCTCAGTCTTGTTCGCAGTGGGTGATTCCCTCAGTTGTTCATATTTATGAACTAGATCAGGCATCCCCAAACTCGGCCCTCCAGATGTTTTGGGACTACAGTTCCCATCATCCCTGACTATTAGCTAGGGATGATGGGCGTTGTAGTCCCAAAACATCTGCTGGGCCGATTTTGGGGATGCCTGAACTAGATGGTGTCCCTCAGGTATTTTGGAAGGGGTAGGGTGTGGCTGGTGCAGTTTTACAGCCTGTGTTTTACAGTTCTAAAGCAATTAAAAGTGTGTTTTGATCACAATTACTAGGGGAGATGCTTCAGACTAGACTGGCTTACTGTCAAAGATGAGTATGAATATCTACATTCACTGTATGGAACTTAATGTATAATCTTCCCTTCCTGTGTAGCTGAGCAGTAAGCAGAGCTCTTCCCTTCTCTATGGAAGCAGCAGCTTGTGTGTTGCTTTATATAAAAAAATGACACTTAATTCTACTCTGCCTGAAAAAATTATGACGGAAGAGTGAATGGATGTCAAGTCAGTTGGGATCTCCCAGCAGACCCCATTCTTGAGCTATACCTAGGGCAGCTATTGTTGTTTTAAAGGGGGGTTTCCAGATGTGCAAATAATCCAGATGTCTGAGAGCATTTCCTCTGGCCGGGGTTGTGAGTTGGGTTGGGTGGGGGGCCATTTCCTGTTCTTTTGCTGCTGAAAGTGCACAGATGAATCCCAAACGCTCCTTAAACTGCCTGCCCTGAGAGAGATGCTACTGCCAACAGCTTGTGGGGAGGAGAAAGCCCTGTTCTTGCCAAATGTGTGTTCCTTTCAACACCCCCATTCACTACCCTCGTTGTTTGTGGAATGTCAAGGTCTGGCCTTCCTGAACTCCCCTCTTTCTCTCTCTTACTAGAAAGCTGCACCAGTGAGGAGTGCATAACTTGGCAGTATGCTTATAGGTGTGGTCCCGACTCTTTTGTGGAGGAAATGGGAGCTGGTTTTCCCGTAATTATCTGCAGTGCAAATGGGATCCAGCTTTATGTTGGACAGCATCTTTCTGAAAAAGCAAGCTGTCCCCATAAGACTTTGGAGAATTGCATAAGCAGGGGTAAAGCTACAGGAAGTGTGATGTCTAGGATTCCTAAAAGGGGAGCAGTGGAGTGACAGGGTCATGCAAAAGAATAGCTTTCCAGCTATAGAAAGCTTCTTGCAAGTTTTTATCCCACCACCACAGGTCCTATCTTTACAGAAGGTGAATTCCCTTTTTTTGGTTGCCATGCTGTCTGTTTATGTAGCATTTGTATCTTGTAATATCCCTATCTTCCAGCGTTTCATATTAGAATTGCATATTATGTTTAATGCTGGGAACAGTGTTTGGGCGCTGTGGCTATATTTCCTTCCTCTTTGCCCTAATGATGGCCAAAAAATAATAATACTGAATTTGGGCCATTTCTGTCCACCTGACCTGTGTCCAGCCTCATCTTATATCTGCTTTGAGAAAAGTAGCTTAACACTGTATGGTAGACCCAGAAGGATGAATATATATTATGATAGCCAGGCCTTAGCCTTCTTCATAGATAGCTCAGTTGGTAGAGCATGAGACTCTTAATCTCAGGGTCATGGGTTCAAGCCAAAAGGGTTTCCTGCATTGCAGGGGTTGGACTAGATTATCGTAATTTTCCCTTCCAACTCTGCAGTTCTGTGATTCTAAGCTGCCCCATGTGTATGCAGAGTTCAAGTCTGCCTTCTGAGTTTCCAGAAGGGTGGTACTTCAAGGAAATGAGAGGGCAGCCACACATGCATTCATCTCTTCATTGCCTAACACAAAGCAGAGCTGAGATCATAGTGGACTTAACACCTTCTTCTGTCTTCTAGTATCAAAGTAGTAGTAGCTGTGAGACAGCAGAGCCATTCCCAGTGCCGTGACTGTGAAGGGATCAGCAGACAGTAGATGTCCATCCTTTGGATAGTTATTTACAAGGCTAGCGTTATGCACTAAAAACAGGTGATGGTACTGTTACTGCTAAAGCACGTGATGGAAGGCATCACAGATTGGGCCATGCATTCTCTCCAGATTTGCCTATATTGGAATCCCATGGCTAGGCCAATATCCACATGCAGCAAACACTGTGTGCTCAGTGGATGGGTAAATCAAAGAACTTGGGTAATGGACTTTAAGAGTCACAGCATCATCCTGAGGATACTAAAGAGTACTGCACCCATTTTTCCTGCAAGAAATGGAACCTCAATGAGAAGTTCAGCATTATCAAATATTCTACAATTACTGACCCAAACTTCCTTCATATTCCTAGTTAAATGTTGATACTATTTTTATACTGTTTTTTAAATCTGCTATGCTTCTTAAAACAGCACAGCTCAATGGTAGTGAAAGATGAGATAGGCATGGCCAAGTGACTGGAAATTAAAGCAGTCTTGATGCTTTCTGTGGCCAGCTGGTGTTGTAAGTTGACTGACAAAGAGTCTCCACTGTGACATCATGTTTAAGCCAACCTATCACCACCACCAGCAGGTATTGAATGTCACACATGGGAAGCTTTTAAGCCACTGCAGCCAATGCCATTCTTTTTCAAGGGAGACCATTCACACAGTCACCTGTAAATCATTGAGGGGCAAGACACCATGTGTTATGTACATGAACATGGGAATCTGGACTTAAATCTGGTTTAGGAAGAAACTGACTAATTCAGACCTCTTCCCAGAAGAGAGCCATTGCTATTAAAATGCTGGCAAAATTTAGTGAACTTTGGGTTGTGTTCATATGATTCCCTGCTGCTCTCCCATCCCACTGACCCAACCCTTCTTAGCTTCTTCGTGGTTGCTGTGTCATGTGCTTTCAAACCATGCCATGAAAAGTTGGAAGGAACTAGAGTCAGTAAAAGTTGGGGGGGGGGGAGAGGAGAGAATTCTCAGTAGCTATTAAGTTCAACACCCCAAAATGCACTTGGCACTAAGCAATTTGCCCTGTTGTGTAGTAGGTAGCTTTTTAGCAGCTGCATGAACTTACTGCTCTGCTTGTCAAGAGTCAGCTGTAACAGAGCACCATCTTCTTATTCTAAGCATTAGCTGTTTGCTGCAGAAAGGCCGCTCCATGAGTGGTAACATGCCTCAGAGTTGCTGCAGCCACAGAGTCCACACCATCAAACCTTGAGAAAAGAGCACACTGGAGAAAACCATGTCATAGAGCTGCTTTCTCCAAAGCAAACTGTCCCCCCCTCTGGATTTTTCTTATTCTGCAAAGTTATTTTCTGTGTCTTTTGGCATTGTTTAAAACAGTGTGGTAGGAAGAAGGCAAAGTGTCCGTTTAAAGGTTTCTGAAGTGTGTGATATATTGGGAAACCACGTGTGCTTAAGGAAATGGTGAGCTGTTCTAATATCTGTCTTCTCTGTTCACCAGCTGACCAGACTGTGACTTGGAGGGATTTCCACTGTGTGTAGTGCAGAGACAGAGGCGACATGAAAGAAGAATCAAGTGGATTCAAGGGAAGGGGACAGACGAGATGGTGTCTGCAGGCCCCAAGAGCTCTGCACAGACTGTCTCAAAACTTCACCAAGGCCTGCAATGAACTGTTTTTTATTTTTATTTTTGAAACGCTCCTCTCCTCTCCTTGCCTCCCTCCCCCTCCTGGCAACTTGTACAAAGCCACAGATGGAAGTAAATTATTGTATGATGGTCTTGACACTGGTTTCTGCATCTCTGTCCCTGTTCCCGAGGATTGACTGGCATTGCCTGTTCTTCTGGAGCAGGCACTGGCAGAGGGGAGGGGGAGGCCCATGCCGAGCAGCCAGGCAGGTCGCTGCTTCAGCCTCTTTGAGCTCGCCTCCTTGGCAGGGGCCAAAGCCTAGTTGGAGCTGTGGCTGTGCCCTGGCCTGCTGCTTTTCTTTCAAGAAGCCATTTATAGAAAGAGAGCAAATGTGGGTTGAGTGGCTCCACCACTGTATCTCAGAAAGAGAGTTAGCTGTGGCCTGCAGAAGATCATACCTCTTCAGAAAGCGTTGCCAAGAAATTCCACCCACTGACACTCTGCCATTCTATAGTGGTAGGGAATCTCTTTACTGGTCTCAGCCATTTCTGGGGGTGAGGTGGGGGAAGACATATAAACATACCTCCTTTATGAATGGATTCTAAGCCAATTCTCAAACTGCTGTTCCCAAAGTTGGGTTTCATTTACCTTTGCCCCTATTGGTTTACATTGGCATAAACATGGAAGACGATTCCTTCTCGTTGTTCTTGGCAATTGTTAATTCTCCCCTGCGCTAGAACAACCCAGTGAGTTTTCTCTGTGGAGAGTAGTTCTGCCTGGTGAAAGTTCCCTGCAGGCCTGGAGTGGGTGTGTGTGTGTGAAGAAGGGGAGAGAAGGGGGGTGTTCCTTTGCAGCATGTCACTCTCCCCCCCTTTGTGGTGTTGGGAGGACTTGTGTGTATGTGTAAATATATAAATGATTATACAGCAGCTTGTTGATTGCAACTGAAGGATGTTTGATTCTCAGTTTTAGTCTCTGTGTTTCACTGAGCCCAACTTCTGTTTCATCCATTAATTACCTGATGGAGTTTGAAGGAGAACAGCTCTTTCTTGTCCCTTTTGTGGGGGGGAGGGCATTGGGAGCTGTGCTGTCTTTCTTCCCCCGGAACCATTGTGTCTTATGAAGGGGTGGGGAGGGGTGCCTAATGGACAAGAAATGGTCACTTGTTGGCTTTCTTCTTTGTTGTAAGTTTGGCAATTTCCTGAGCAGTTTTTTATGCTTGTTGCCTGTGCTGGGGCTGACTGCATTGATGTGCTTGTTGCAAATCTTGTGAACTTCCTGGAGGGGCAGCTGGTCTCTGGAGGCACAGGAGTGTGTTTCCTTGTTCCTGCTCTGACCTCTTCTTTCCTTTGCAGCCGCTGTGCCTATGCTGCTGCATGCACAGCTCAAATTCCTGCTCTTCAGGTAGCAGCTCCTCTGTATTAATGTGACTGTACCAATTATACTTGCTGTTTTGTTAAAGGTTTTGCCAGTAAGATAGTCAAGCCAGATGCTCGGCCCTAGCTGAGCTAAGGGAAACAAGTTCCTTCCAATAATTAGGTGACTGGTGTGGATTTTTAAAGGGGGGGGGGTCGATCCAGTGTTGGAGGTGTAAAAGAGAACCCAAATCTAGCCTTAAATGTCATTAAAAAGTGTTGTTCTCAAAGGTGTGTTTATTTTTGAAGTTGACTATTTGCATGTTGCATCTTGCTGGTTTGATGCCTTTTTTTCTAAAGTTTGCCGAGTATTAAGTCACCTTTTTGTGCTGCATCTGAAGATAGGACCACACACTCTCACTCTTGACAACAAATGCTCAGAAATCTGTCCTATCTTAGTCCCACCTCCATGGTTGATCTTCTTGAACTGAGGCTGTCTTTGGGAGAGGGATAGCTGTTGCTTGGTAACAAAGATGACTCCATACAGTTGCATACTCTCTTGACAAATTATTATTATTCCTACCTTTGTGGATAACTTCTATTCTCTACAGCAGGGGTAGAGAACTTGTGGCCATCTACAGTTCCCATCAGCATGGCCAATAGCAAGTAGTTCAGCAATGTGGAGAAAGCTAGTTTCCTCACCCCGTGCTACAGGTTTGTTGGATCATGCAACCTTAACAAGGCTACAAATGAACACTTGCTTGAGGCTACTACAAAAGCAGAAATGGTGAGCAGGATCTCCTATGGGGCTCTTTGCAATTACTTCTCATTATCTCAGTTTGGCATGGCATTTGGTGGGGAAAGCATCTTTGTGCATAGGTCTGCTGTTCTAGACTGAGATACATGGGCACATAAGTGTGTACACATGCCTGGACAGCAGAGAGTGGCTAGATATCCTACTATAGATTCAGAGCTGAGGACAGAGGCAGCCTCTATAGTTTTGCCATTTGTTATACAAGCACCTTTAGCAGAGGTATGATGATGGGAGAAATAAATATGGCACATGCAGCACAGCAAAGACAAAGCTGCTATTGTTCCTTGAATACTTTTTTTGGTTCCTTGAATACCTTTTTTACAGTGAGGTAAGCATGATGTGAGGTTGTCTAAACTGCTATATCACCACAGTCCCACCACAACAGATGTGCAGGAGGAGGCATGAATAATCTGACAAGGCGAACGTTAGTTTTGCCCTGATGGTGGTCTTCATGCAGGCAGCTGGCACCAGGATTCTGAAGACAACAAATGGAACAGGGCCCTTATGCCTTCCTGTTTTCTAAACGTCTGCGAGTACAGTATTCCAACCCATAATTGAAGTTTGAGAGTGAAAGATTTACTAATAATTCTTAAAGAGCCCCCAGCACTTAGGGAAGAGGGGTTACTGTATGTGAATCCAAGTGAGTGACTTTTTTTCTTTATGTAACTGATGCTGGATCTCTTTAGAGAGCAGAAGAAATTCCTTTCTGTCAAGGATAGCCTGCCTTGCTCCTGAATTCAACCAAGCTGGAGAAATCCACCTAAGAGCTGGCATAGGGAACTGGCTCATTTGTTACTGCCAAGCTTTAAAAAAAAAACCCTAAAAGATGAGTGAGAAAACCCACATTTAAATCTAAATCACAGGCTTGAACAGCCGCAACCTTCATCTGTGAATTTTTCCTCCTTGCTATAGGCAGTGCTAGCCTGTTATGATAGAAATGTATCTAACAGAACAGACTAATGATAGGTTGAAATTGTCCAAGCTAAAGGAAAAGCATAGGTTCTACAGCTGGGCTGATGAACAGGCTTCACTATTGTTCTGTTTTCCCTGCTGTTGCGTTTAAGTTAAAAATAGGACAAAGAGCCTAAGTCCACACCAGGCCCTACTTAGCAGCCATTATTCAGAACTGACTCATTGACTGATTAGCAACACAGGCAGGAACTCTTCACAAAGGGCGGGGGGAAACATTGGCTACCACTAAAAAAAATAATTGGTGCACCAGGTTGCAAAAAGCATGTGAACAATGGATGTACAAGTCTTAAGGGCCTCCAGGGTAGTTAGCACTTTCCCTCTGAACCAGTTCAGAATGTTGCTGCTGTTGTCCAAAGTCTCTTGTTCAAACTCAGTAGTGCTGAGTCTAGAAGAGAGGACTTCTCTACCCCCCAAAAGAGGTGTGTGTACTCATGCTTATTCCAGATGTTCTGGTTTGCTTGAAAACAATATATTGCGAACTTGAAGACAAGTCACAACATGGAAAAACTATTTTAAAAATCCAAAATGTCTAAGCAGGGTTGGGTAGTGCCCTCTTGTGGCTGCAGCAGTCTCTGCCTTCGTCTTCCAATGGTAAGGGAAGTCTCTCTGCAAGTTGTCTCCTGTTCCACTTTCTAGGTAAACATTTGTGAGGAGGACAGACAGGGCACGGAGAAGTTAAATTTGCACTTTGGTCCTAGCCCTGTGAGAGCATTTCTTGCTCAAAGCTTAAAGGAAGGAATTGCAAGGAGCGCCTCTTGGTTTCAAGGGAGCTGATATGTAGGAGAACGGCATGGCACACTGTGTGCTTATTAAGAGAAGGCAAATGTAACGACACTTCCAGCTGGTTCTGCAAAAGTAGAAGCCAGCTTATTAAGCAAGCAATGCTAATTAAGTACTAGCTAAAACACTCCTGTGATGCATAAAATCCTTCAGTGAGCACAGCAAGAATTCTTAAGTTATATCTTTTCATTTAAACTAGCAGGATATTTCCGTTAACCTAAACACATTCTCTGGACCTTTAGTGGCAAAGTCCCCCCCCTTTTTAGCCAACTAAGACAGTAAACCTGCACCTGGAATATCCCACTTCAGCCACAAAGACAGACTTACATGCTGGAACTCCTCCATAGGAAAAAGTTGCACAGATGGAGGGAAAGATTGTAACCTAGCCTTCTTCCCAACTTCCTAGTTTCTGTGCAGTGAATTAAACCACCCGCTACGTCTGAACTGCAGACACAACAGTGGTTGGTTGTGGCAACTAGGCCTACATTAAACTCAAGGATTTATTTATTTTTAAGTACCCTATCCTTAGAACCAAATATTCCATTCAACACAAGTATCTGATGATTGCTGTTTTGAGAATCTCTCAGTAAAGATTTCAGTCTCCCCAAGCAGCTTAGTATGCTTCAAACACCTGTGCCCTTCCTCTCAGATTGCTTCCACGTGGTTACTCTCTCACATAGCAAGCAATTCAGAGGCGAATACCTGCTTGTGGAGCCTCCTCTGTGGTTCACACCCACACTTTAAAAAGCTGTCAGCACAAATGGCGACAGTGTGAAGACACCCACGCTGTGAGCACAGAAATGTCTGAAAGCATTTCAAAAGCAGCCTTCATCGATGGCACTTAAAATATGCAAACTTCCAAGGTTCACAAGGCGCTGCATCAAGCTGCAGAAAAAGAGCAGCAATGGCAGTGATTTTCACAGCCCATTCAGTAATAGCAACTGCAATGTTTATGTTTCCCCACTGCACTTGCATACAGTTCCAGTAACTTAAAACTGAGGAAAAAAGATACGCATTATTTAACTGATTTTGATTTTCGTTGCTTGAGACCAACATAGCAACCAATAACACAATACGCATCTTCAGGGACCTGTCATGTTATGCACGTCTTTTGCATTGGCTACTATTGCCTAAGAACATTAGAGCAGACCTGCTGTATCAGACATGAGGACTATCCAGCACCCTCTTCTCGCAATGGTCAACCAGATGAAGAAGAGGAGAAGAGTTTGGATTTGATATCCCGCTTTATCACTACCCCAAGGAGTCTCAAAGCAGCTAACAATCTCCTTTCCCTTCCTCCCCACAACAAACACTCTGTGAGGTGAGTGGGGCTAAGAGACTTCAGAGATGTGTGACTAGCCCAAGGTCACCCAGCAGCTGCATGTGGAGTGGAGAAGTGAACCGGTTCACCAGATTACGAGTCTACTGCTCTTAACCACTACACCACACTGACTCTTGTAGATGCCTACAAGAAACCTAGAAGCAGCACAGGAACCCAGCAGCACTCTCCGCACTGCTGCTCCCCATTAAGTAGTACTCAGAGGCATAACGTCACCAATACTGGTGATAGTACACAGCTATCATGGCATTAATAGCTTTATCCTCTATGAAATTGCCCAGCTCCCTTTTAAAGACATCAGTCTTGCTGACCATTGCTAACGATACCTTGTGGTAGTGGATTCCATTTATGTCCTTTTGTCTTGAATCTTCCCATATTCCCTTTCATTGGATGATCTCATGTTCTAGTATTAACAAGGGAGAAAAAACTTACTTTCTCCCTGCCATGCATAATTTTATAGACCTTTACGTATCAGCAACGAAGAGCAAAGCTGGAATTAGCTGCTTATGGAAGAAAGCACAAAATCCATCTGAGATGCATGTGATTGACATCTGATCTGCACAGCAGAGGGGAATAATCTGTAAAATTGAAGAATTTGCAAATTATTGCCATCCTTGTAAATTATTGCCGTACTTTAAGTAGTGTTCTACCTTTTCAGAACCAGAAGCTCAATTGTGCATTTAGGGGCCCATTCCTTTGTCTTTTTAAAGGCTATATATATGTGGTTCTGTTGTGACCCAAGTTCAGTCAGGCTGTTATGCAGCAGCGAGTCATGACCCACCACTTGCAGACAATTGTTTTAGTTTTATCGGGTCACAGGCCACAGCCTACAACTGTTGCATATTCTTAGCGTGAAGTACTATAGAAGCAGAAAACTAGAATTTGCCTGCCATTAGCCCAGAAAGGATATTAACCATCCAGGGACACACACACACACACACACACAAACTTATAGTGCTGTCCACATGAAGGCAACTCCAAAGTTTTGGCACCATCCCAGCAAAAGATTACATGAAATCATTGCTCCCCAGCTACTACAGAGTGTCTCCAAGCAAAATACATCCTTAGCCAAGGGAATAGTGCTGACAAGCCGTGATATAGCAGTGTTCCATGTTGGATACAAATATTACCTTTTAGGCTTGGCATACTTGGTGCTGCAATAGTTAGGCCAAATTTCTTCTAAGTAAGATTCATAGGATGAACAATGGTGAATAACTTCTAGTTCCCCTCCTCTTCACATGTAACTTCTTCCAGCAGCCATAGGAAGAGGCCCAGTGCCCATGGGAACTCTTGGTGCTCTCTAGCTGAGTGCCTTACCCAGCCCAGCCCAGCACAAGAGCTCAGCACAAGAAGAAATAAATCCACACGTGTCAAATTACAGAATCAATTTGCAGCCGTTTGTGCTAAAATTTAACTGTTATTACAACCATGTAAAACACAGCATTTGAACACTGTACAGTCCTTCTGGATCAGAATAAAAAAAGTGAATGGTTTTTGTTTTGCCCTCCCACCCGCCCACCCCAAGCATATACATAAAAAGGCATGAAAGCAATAATACAATACACGGAGTTACAGAGGAAGCTCTCAAGAAGTGTAAACAAGAATAGCAATTAAAATGTAATAATAAAAAAGACAATGGCAGCAGAGCGATCAAAGTGCACAAAAGGACCAATCTACTGAACTGCAGAGGTTACAAGTTTCAACAATGGAAGAGTTTCCAGAACCTCCATGCTGAATTTCTGCCACATGGCTGTACTGTTTCTGCTCAAAAGTGTTGGATCTGATCCAACCCCTAGCTGAACATTAAAACTAAATACATCTCAGCTACATGCACACCATTTGGGATTGGGGTGGGGGGAGGGAGTATTTTCCTGAGTTCCTAAAGAAATACTGGCTCCATTCCCCTTACTTAGGAAGGCTGTAGGAGCCATTCATTGTTTGCTATCGAGCAGGTGAAGTTGCTGTTTGCCTACTTGCACAAGTAAGCTTCTTTGCACTGAATATTCCACAGCCCCCACCAAGCACACACCTTATTTTCAAGGGAGATATTGTACTTGTCCTGTCTTGACTTACAGTGGGCATGCTCCTATAGCAAAAGGTGGCAAACCTGAATAGGAAATAATGGCATCAAAAGAAAAATACCACTAGCAAACCTCTCTAGAGCTCACTTCGCAACTAGAGGTGGTAAATGCATTGTTGTCCAAAAGTAGTAAGCATTAAGCTTACAAAACATCATGTAAAATAGTGCCTAAACTAGAGACCGTTGAAATCCAAGTAGCTTTCTGCATATGGCAGTCTAGTTTGTACAAGGGCATCCCTAATGTTGCTAGAATACTGGACAAAACGTTGCTCCTTTTCTAACTCCTTACTAGTCCTCTCCAGTTGAGAGAACATGAAAAACAGATGGTGTGATGAAAAACTACTATCTCGGTTAAATACCCTCTCGGTTAAATACCCACCTTTCCACGTAAGATGCACTGTACTAGTCCCTCTTGCATCCTGTTTGGAGTCTGTTTTACACGCTTGCATTATCTAATCCTCTTTTTTTGCTGCAGGCATCCCAGCTGAATTCTTTAGCATTCTGGTCCACTTCCATAATGTCTCAAAGGTCTTTCATCAGGAAATTTAATTGTGCTGTTAGAGCAGAATCAAATTGGTTTCCTATCTGCACGTGACGCTCAACTAAAATTTAGGGTGGAGAATTTCAGGCATGCGCACCAAGGTAAGCTCTCTTATGCCCCTTGTCACTCTCACATTTGCTTTGGTCCCAGTGCCATTTCCAAGAGAGAGGTTGGTCGGATTTGAGGGAATTTCGGGGGGGGGGGGGGGAGTAATTCAGCAAGGGAAACAAAGTACCGTGCCCGCCTTTCTACTGTTCCCGTTTGAAACAGCAGCTTCCAAACTAGAATTGGAACAGGCCACTGGCAGAGAAGAATGTTTGCATGAGCTTGACAACAAAGTCCCTCAACAAAGAGATTTAGACAATAACTGCAGATAGAGAATGCTTCCACCTGGGTTTTAACATGAGAATGCTGTACACAGGGAATGTTGCACATATGCACATCAGAGTTCCTACTGGGTAGGCATTGTTTATCAGTTTTTACCTGGGTGGCAGTACTGCCTAGGGAAATCGTACATTTTAAATACATCTAACATTAATTACTACTTCATCCAGGTTTTACTAATACCTGCACAACTGTTATTATCTGAATGCCTTTTCAAAGTACAATATGCACTGTGACCAACTCCTATATGTAAAGTTACATTTTACATTTCTAATGTAAATAAGACAGTTACACCTCTAAAGCATAAACAAGATGGGTGGATAGCCTGCCTTATCCTCTAGGTATCTACCTAACTTTGGGTAGAACCAGAGAGTTGATTTATACATTTTCCTAGTAACCTACACATGGTTAATGTCTGCTGCAACTCCTCACAGAGGTTCCCCCCCCCCCCTTGCAGTGATCTGTGGGTTGCTTAAGTTATTGGCTTGAGAAGTGTCATGCCTTAAGAAGGTAATACAAAGTCTGCTCCTCTTTGGGAATTTGCCCCTTTTAAGAAGCACGCTGATTAAATAAAACTCTAGACATTTCCCGGATTTTGCTGTGTTTCAAGGAGAGTAGCCCAGCAAAGAATCCTGCATCTTTTGATCAATTGCATGGAGAAAAATGACTTGTCCTCCTTGGTTCACAGCAAATCAGGCCATGATACTGTCATTTTTAGAACTCCTTTACCCTTAACTCACATTTGTACTCCCACCCATTGTACGGAAAAGTTGAAAGTGTTAGAGCTTTCCTGCAAGGTCAGTTTAGTGAGTCGTACATGCATTGCAATTCTTTTTTTCTTCTGAAGATGCAAACAATCTGATCAGCATATGCAATCAATATAAAGGCAAAAAGTAACCCAATATTCTTAAGGAAGCCCTTAAGAGAAGCAGCTCATTGCCACGGGCTTATGACCAGAGGGGGCCGGTGGGGGGGGGGCAGAGGGACCATGAATGCCCCAGTATGAATCAAGAGAAAAGGAAAGGCTCCAAAAGAAACAGCTGTAAAGCCAATGGGCTGGAGGAAAGTGACTAGTTCGTAGAGTATATTTGGTCCAGAGCCTGCTCTGCTACAGTTCATTTTGTTTCAAAGTGTCCCTTGGTTCCTGTGCAGTTCTTTGGGAGGCTGCAGTAGACAGGGGCACAAAAAAGCTAGGACAACGAAACAACAACAGCCAGCTTGGTTCTGCTGCTTGAAAAAGGACATGCACACAGATAGGCACCGTGGCTTGTCATCGTACCAGTCTATTACTGAACCATATAGTGCTCCAGAAATTAAACAGCTGATTTTGAGACCACACATTATAGCACTGCTCAGACACCTGCGGATGAACATTTTGAAGCCAGGAGTTGTACAAGGAAGAGTGTGGCATGCATTAATAATAATTTTTGAAAAATAATCTTAAACTTTAATTGGGCCACAGTCCTGTTCTCTGGCTGTCTGGTAGCCAAAGATCTAATTGAGGCAACACCTGCTGTTTCCACTAGGGTGCAGTGCTCTAAAGCTCAGCAGGGGCCTGGAATGTCGCCTTTCCGTAAGGTAACTATTGGCTGTCCTACTGCAATTAGCTAGAGCATATATAGTCCATTAGCAATTCTTTTTGTGGAAAATGTGCGTCACAAGTTCAAGGCATGTAGGTGCTAACTGGGATGTGCATTTGACAGCTGTGAAATATTTCTGGATAAGCACCTTTAAAACTAATGTATTGCATGATGACCTTAATTCTGATCGTACCTTATTAGACTGAAAATGGAGGTACACATAAAAAATATATACAGAAATTGGAAGATCAGACTGGTAGAATGAACACATATTTGACTAAACAGGATCCCATCTTTTTCCTATTAACCTTTGCTCCAACTACAGCAAACAGGAGTCTTGTGCGCGTTGAGGGAAATCTAACCTAGATATCAATAGTTTTTCAATACTTTTCTTTCTGTTCTAGAAGCCAATGAGCAAAATGAAGACTTATCAGTCATTACCCTTGAAATACTATCTTGGAACGACTGATATACACAAACATTTTTCAGCAACTGTGCAGCAGTTAGGGAAGTAAAATGTAAAATTCCACACAAGCACAATCTTTGTCTTCCCCCATCGCCATTCTTCTTTTCCTTCAAGAACACTGCAAGAACTAACTAATCATTAGGCCTCACACCACCCCATGAGGTAAGAATTAAGGATTATTATTCCCTCTTCCCCATCTCACCAAAGGAAGAGGCAGACAAGAAGTTATACAAGCCCCTAAAATCATAAACAAAGCTACTGTGACATTAGAAGAATTCCTGGCTCCCAGGGCTAAACAAGTAACCTCTCCTTGTGGTTAGCAAAGAGAAGTTAGGATTGCCAGCTGCAGACTGCTTGCTTTGCTCCCTCACTTCTAGATAAAAATATTAAAAAGCAATAGACCATTCAAACAAGCAACTGTGCACTATCCAGTCCTTCACTTCAAACCAGACATCTGTTTAAGGAGGCATTTCTTGGCCCCAGGAGTGAAAACTAGATAATCCATTGAAAAGGCTGGGGGCAAATACTGATGGACAACAGCTCTGGAAAGAAGGTCGGGCATGAAGTATAAGCTTGTATTTGAAGAACCAGGCCTTAGGAAAGCTCCCTTCTAAAGCTATAGTTTTTAGGACTATACACGTTCTTACAGCACACCTTACGTTCCTAGGAAAGGCTATCTTCTAAAGCTATGTTTTCTGTCTTGGCCACTTTGCATTTTGTTGACAGACAAATGGGCAAAGAATGGCATCAAGGATCTAGGAAAGTAAAGGCTGCAATCCTATGCACACTTACTTAGCAGTAAGCGCCAATGAACTCAGTGGGCTTATGTCTGTGTAAACATTCACAAGAATTGTGATGACTTTCCTATCATCTCCAACATGCTTTCCACAAGGCTAGGCTGGAAATGGTATCCTTAGTGTCAATTCCACGGGACTCTTGTGGTTTGCCAACAGCCTAAGAATAACAGAGCAGTTCTCGTTTTTGTACAAGTGCACAGCCCCTCTTTACAGAAGCTTTTTTGAGTCACCTGCATGGTTGTGAGCCAGCTCACTTCCAGAATCTGCACAGGAAAAATACAGAGGGAGAGACGGGTAGACAGACCCTCCTACAGTTCTTCTGTCTGCCACAGTCACCCCTCCTGGTGATGCAAGTGGTCCAAGGACATGAACCCATCCCTGGTGAGCTGCATGGAATCCAGCCCACCGCCTTGGCTTCTTTCAGAAACTACTCTTGCTATCTATGTGCAGGACATCACACAGTTCAACTGAACAGAAAAGCATTCCTCTGCATGAAATATTTTTACTAATCTTTGAGAATCCTCATCAGTGCAAACAAGTGAGGGAGCTAAAGAACAGGCATGCTGAGTCGCCTGGTTTCACTGCAAGAGAACACACACATGAACAATGTGTGCTGGATATTGCATAGATGCTGTAAAAGCTAACTTTCCTGACATGAATCACCCACTGCTTAATTTACAGGACTACACTGGCTGCTAGACTGAAACAGAAGAGCCGCACCACTATTGCTACTGAAAAGATGTGCTACTGGCCCAAACCTACAGCTGAGTGGTCCACCTGCTGCCTTAAATGACTCCTTCCACCTCCCTGGTGTTCTAATGCTCACCTTAAATTTTCAGCTGTATGGGTTTGGAAAGAAATAGTTCAAATGGTTTTGTCAGGTTAAATCTGTTAGACATCTACTCGGGTGTGAAAGAGGAGAGGAAAAGCCGGATTCAAAAGCACTTTGGGAGCTGTCTGAAGAGGAGAACCCAAATTTGTAAAGAATCCATCTACAGGCATTGTCTACTGGCCTGTATTCTAAGCTCCATCCTGAATTATTGGCATACAGTATGACTGGCAATGCAGTTGCCTCCTTAGGCTGTGCTTTCTCATTCCAAACCTCTCATGAATAAGCGCTGTGAAACCTTAATCTCCTCATTCTCAGCTCTACTAGAATGTGACTGACTTAGACATTTGCACCATGGGAGGGCAGCCGGGGTAGAAATTGTTATCTGAATGAGTTTTGAAAACCTTGGGTGGGATTTTTGGCTTTGGCCTTTGAAGGGCAGGTGAACCACTCAAAGTGTTCCGTGACTTCTGGTCACAGTCCCTGGCATCCCCACCCAGAGTTTCCATAGCTACAGGAGGAAGTGTCTCAGCATCACCTGCATCATGGCAGCTGGCTTCTGGCAAGGGCAGAGCCACTTGCTTTTTGCTTGAGAAGTCTTGCTCAATAGCATGAGCCAAGTGAAGCGGGGTGGTAGTCTTTACTATTCTGAAGGGGCTGTGCTGCTCCTGCAACACCGGGGATGAAGTGGGCCGGGCTTGTAAGCCTTCTGACAGCAACGGCATCTCGGAGTCCAGCTCAGATAAGATTGGCACACTGCCCCCACCAGGGTGGTTCTTGTGAGGATGCAATACCGCAAATGAAATGGGCTGGCCGTATTCGTTGTGCTGTTGCATCAAATCTACCGTTTCCCAATTTTGCCTCTGCAGATTTTCTAGCTCCCCAACTGATGCAGACTTGGGCACTGTACACTTTAACACAGGAGAACAGAGCTCAGTCTGTGGTATTAAAACTGCCAGTTTCTTAGATCCGGGCACCTGTACAGGAGATTTCTCTTCTCCATTGTCACCTTCAGACAAGTTATCATACTGAGATGCATTAGAAGGTCGCCGTTGTCCATCCTGAAATGGGAGAAGAAGAGCAGCAAGTGCTTTGGTCGGACATGGAGCAGCTGTGCTTTCTGACAAGTCACATGTTGTGGACTGGCTGTGTTCTGCCATAGAAGACAAGTCTGGACTTGGAGGCTGGTACAGGTGATCTGGAAGCAACACAACATCTTCAGATAATAAATCCTCAGAGGAGCAGGTGATGCTCCCATCTTGAAGAGCTGCATCATTGCACACAGATGATGCCAACTCTGAGGTTCTTTTCTCTTCAAGAGATGGAAGCAATGGCACTTGGCAGAATATCTCTGACTCCGATACTGTCTCTGTACTATTGGGGGTGATAGACAGGTCTGCTTCTAAGGTCTGGCTCTGCAAGTGAGACTCCTCCCAGAGAGAGTTGTCCATTGGCAATCCATCTGTCTCACCTTGAAGCCGCTGGGGAGCAGCATGGTCTATATCATCTATAAAAAGACAGGGGTTATTTTCCTGTAAACTATACCTCTCTACGCCACTGCTCTCCAATGATTCAGCCACCTTACAGACCATCACCACATCCTGACTTTCTCCAATGACCTCAATATCATCCAGCATTATAGGACCATCCTCCAATGGGATTTCATTGGCATTTTCTTCTACTCGTTTCTCTTCCATTTCAAACTTTTGGCTTGGCTGATGATGATTCTGGAATGGATTTTGGTGCACATCAGCTGGTTCAGCTTGGATGGGTGGTCCATTGGGTTGTGGAACAGAGGCTATCTCATGCATTGCCTTATTTGAATTAACTATTGTTTCGTTCAAGTAAGTAGGACTTTTATCTGGAGAAGGTTGCATTACAACATCTTTGTCATGGTTGAGGTCCCCAGCCGCCTTTTTCTGGCCGTTAGCTGCAACATTAGGCTTCACTGACACTGGATTGAGAGAGACCTCCAGTCCCAGAGGTTTCTTGGGGAATTCTTCAGATTTTGCTGTAATGAAAAGCCACACATTAGTTTCTTATTTTGAATCCAAGTGCAACAATGAAGGGCAGCTGAAAGGAACCCAAACTTTCTGTAGCCCAATTTAACGAGTGGTCAGGAAAGGAACAACAACCTGTCAGTCTAGTGCATCTAATTCATATATATTCTCTCCCCCCCCCAAATTCATGGTGATATTTGCAGCTCTCCCCTCGTCTGATTTAAATGGGGTTCTTTTTTAAATATTGCATTAACATTCATGCACATATGCAAACAGCTCAAGTAGGGCTCAGAAGCTTCAGAGCTTCCTAGAGGCAGCTAGTTGGCTGCTGGATACTGGGCTAGTAGATGGACCTTAGGAAGAGCCCTACTGGATCATGCTCATGTTCATACTGTAACCTGTCAGAGCTTCCCTCCAAAGGCTAGGAATTGCTGACACCAAGCACTCTATTTAGAACTCCTGGGCTTCTTATAGAACCACAGTTCCTAGTGTGTTTCATGAGAACTCATATATACTCCCCTAATTGCATGCCACCACAGCACCACACCATTTTGATGTAGTGCATGGTTTGTAGTGTCCCACTATCAACAGATAAGGTCAAATACCACCCCTTCCCCACATGGAGCAAATACTAAATCATGGGTGTGTTGGACCAATTACCATTACCATTTGAGACAGGCCCATGAAGGCCCATCAACTCCTGAGCCAGACCTGAGGCAACATCATCTTGGATGTTGAAGTCACACAAAACCACAGTTCTGGGTTCCTCCAACATCACACCCAAGACAAACTCGGCCGGCTTGGTCAGGGTGGGCAGTACACCAACAGAATCCCTAGTCATGTCTCTTTGCCCCAACATCAGATGTAGGCCCCCCAGTCCCACTTCAAGAGAGGAGAGGGGCTTCCCAATGGTGGCAAGTGAACTCTAATGGAGTACAGCAACACTTCCCCAGACCCTGCCTCTCTTGGCTTTTGAAAGGGCTTTGTGTATGTGCTAATAGTTCCCCATCTAACTTCTAACTGGAATTGGAGGCTAGGCCAACTGAATTCTGATCAGACAGAGAGATGGAGAGGTGAAGGGATTGTGCTTGGGTTCATAGCAGATCATAAAAATATTACACATATTCTGGTTCTGCTTACCCGGGGGTGGCAGGTCAAATTTCATTTTGCGCAGTTCAGCCATGGACGCTTGCAATTGCTCAATTACAATATCATCTTCAAAATGCAAGGAGCCAGCAATTTTTTCTTGCAGGAATTCCCTTAGATCCTCTAGGGTCATTTTCAACAAGCGCTCTGGCAGGCAGCAGAAAATAAAGCACAATGAAGATACCATGAGAGTTCAGACATATAGTTTCCACTGAATAGTGCTGATCTCAACAAAATAACAACTATCAATGCAGACAATAAAAAGGTACAATTTGCAGTAAGTGTGAGTCATTGATACGTTCCGCTTTGTATGCCTTTACATGCCTTCTATACTTACAGTTTTCTCTGTCTCTAATTAATGCCCTTAGATCTAGCCTGGCGGAAATTTATAGTGTTGCATAACTTCATCATTGTGGTATTTAGATTAATCAGAACCTCTTGCCTGAATAAAGCAATGTCTGGCACACTGCTGTCTGCAGCCATATGCAGAACGGTTCAGACTCAGATTCAGAAGAACACCTCTAGGGGGAGTAAAGCTGCACTCTATTACCTGGTACTGTTTGTATCAGATCAGCTTCTGACAGTGTTGTTTGGTCATGAAAATGCACAATCCTCAGGAATTAAATTGTATGTGTTCAGAATAACTTCACAGAAAAGCATCTGTATTTACATATCTAATGTCAGTCATAATTTGCGTGCAGAAATCTGTTCCTTTTCATTCCGCCTTTGGGGCCAATGTAAATGAATTTTTTGGCATATACGTTGCTATAATACATACACAGAAATACTACATATAAACACTGACTACATTATAACAGTGCAATGCATTTATTCCATCCATCTCACTCACACTGCCCACATATTCTTGTCCTGGGGATTTCACTTCTGAACAAATAGCTTTCTTTGCCTGACCAACAGGCTGGGTTGTGGCCTACCAAGTGAATGCCACTTACAAAAACTTCTAACAATGCATTACAGTAAGTGCAATGGTCTTTAGAGTGCCATCAGACTCTTCTTTGTGTGTGTGTGTTTTATAACAGACTAAAACGACTACCTCCTCTGGAATTTGTCAGAAAAGCATTTCAATATTGCCCTTCCCTTTTTTTCTTCCACATGCACATGCTCTAACAAAGAAAAGAAAAATAAGTCCTAGAAGAAAAGAAACCACTTAAAACCAAATTACATTGTGTCTCCTTTAAAATTCAGGACAGACATTTAGTTTTCTGCACACAATTTACTTTTAACCCTTGAACATGTTCAAGATGCTAGACTTAAGGCAGTTTTTTCCCCCTTGCACAAAGTAGCAGCTAGCTAAAGCCATCTGGTAACCTTTATTGACTGTCTAGACACAAGTGAGCTCCACCCAAACTGTGGTTCACTCAGACAGTTTTCACACAGATATATGGGTATTCCAGCTTATTCCTTAGTGCAGCAGACACAGAATGCATTTGCAAGGCATACTATGAGGACTCCTCATAGGGTTGGCAGTGCTCACCTGTTATATACAAGACAACCTACATGCAAAAGCAAAGTTTTGTTGAACAAATCAGATAGACAAGTTTTTTAAAAATAAAAATAAAATAAAAATGGTTAAGTAATCTGAAACCTCTCTGTTCACATCAGTGCAATGGTGGGGCTCAGCAAGCTGTGTGTCCACATATGTAAATGCCTCTGTGATCAGTCACTTGTTTTCAATGACTCACTGCATCAATCAGATGAGTTCCTCCCCAAAACAACAAATGATTAAATATCCGCAGTGGCATAAGAATGGATGGGAGAAGAGAACACTAAGACTTCCCATTGGACTGCTGCACATCTAGCTAGCTGTATAGTTTCTATATCTCCATTTGGTGGCTTACAGAGAAAATTACTACATGGGAGTAATATAAGTGATTTCCAGGTACACTTGGCACTCGGTAAATGCCCTAATAGTTGGATTAATATGCAGCAGAGCAGCCAAACAAGCCAGTACTACCCCTTATAAAGTAAGTTCTGTAACAGTATATAAGATTTTCTGGAACATATGTAAGAAAAGAATTGTGGTTTCGGCTTGTTTTGAGTTCATCTGACCTACAATGCATTCAGCTCCGTGTTGGTAAATATTTGGTTAACAGATCCAGCTTGAGTCACTGGATGGTGAAATGAAGAGCTTTCCTGCAGGCTCAGAAAGAGTTGAATTAGGTTATTAGTTTTCCTACTTGCTTTCACTATGGCTTCAAGGAAGGCCTAGAAGATGCATCACAAAATGGCACTTCAAGAGTTGGTGTGGAAGTGCACACTAACGGAGCCCGTGATGCAGATGAGCAACTTATCACGATACCCATTTAGTAAAGAGGCTAACCATTTAAACATGAACAAATCCAATATGAAGTCCAAGAATTGCCATTTTTATATTTGAGCCAATGAAAGGAACACAAAATATTTTGGGAAACTGCAGGATTCTTGCCCATAAAAATTGGCTCTCTTTTTATAAAGTTACATTCCTAGGTTCTTAGCACCATTCAGACTGAACAGTTGAGAGAAACAACTTACTTTTATGCAACTTGAGGATAGTGTAGGCCATGGCTGTCAGAACCCTCTCTCCTTCCAGAATGTAGATATCCCATAGCCGCAGAGTTAAAGTAAATGGGGTCTGTTTATAATATTAGAAAATTGAGATGTTATACATTTGCACATAAACCACAATGCACAGCCACAGTAGCAAAATGTCCTTTATCAAATCAATACATATCTTCAAGCCAGAGTCAAGTCTATTTGTACTTTGGTATTAATTATCTTTCCAGCAAGTAAATTCAGACAGATTTGATTCCCATTTGGGCACTTTAACGTTAAAGAGCAAATTAGTCCAACTGACAATCCTATGCCTAACAGGACTTTTCGCTTACCAGTCCCATCTTAATTTAGATCATTATCCTAATTAATGAAAATACAAGCAGAATACAATATTAATTTTGATCAGGCACAAATTATATGGTGCAAGGAAAAAGGACACTGAAGTCATAAGCATGTTGAACACCTCATTCCTCAAGACCCATACCCGGTCAATGAAGCACTGAAGGAACCACTTTGTTGTATAAATCCCTGTAGACATCTGCTCCTTGTCCTAAGGGAGAGTACAAATGAGGAAAATGTTCACTGAGCAGACAAGTTAGAGGGTTGCAAACAATATTTCTTTTAACTCTGAAAACTGGCATTCTTGAAATATTCTTGTATTTCCCCTCAAATGTTAAATGGAACAATAACCATGTACTGTAGTTATGTTTGAATTTGATAGCCATGTCCTTTCAGTGGCTGAATTACTCTCTCATTTTACCTTGAAAGTGCTGCCTGCTTCTAGCTTTCCTATAAAATTATCCAGATTTTTAAAAGTTCCTCATTCTGTTCAGCCATAATTGCAGAATAAATTGTTGAGATAAATGACACATTCTTCATTAACAGGAGCAATAAAGGTTTAAAAAGGAAGTGGTGCGTGATGAAAAATGTGCTTGTGAATATGTGAACAAAAGATGATACTTCGATAGCTCTATATTTAGATGGTTGTTACCCTGGGCTCCATTAGGAGAAAGAGGAGGGTATACAAATAACCACACACACACAGAGCAAATTTTCACTTAACCACAGAAATTTTTACCATGTGCTTCTTCAGCTTTGGAAAGAGTTTGCTTAAGATTGCCTCATGATGGGCTTGGAATCTCTGTAGCTTTGGGAATCCAGGAATGAAAAATCCTTGGAAGGAAAAAGCACAGAGTCAGAAGGAATTAGAAAGGAAAAGAGCAGCACAACATCTGATCTGGGTGCAATAATGAGGACCTTTATTTCCTAAAATGCCCAAATACCAGCAGTTCCAAGCAAGGTGAATGTCACATGTGCATATAAAACTCTAGTGTTTTGTCCATAAAACATAGTTTTACAGTTTCATCTTTGGACAAGATCTGGAACTCTGCCCATGGATGCTGTGGCAGACCAGAACATCCAAAAGGTTGAGTAATTTTTATTCTCCAAAAATACCTTGTACTTAGCCAAAACTGTTCATAAGACTGTGATCTGAGTTTCTTTGGGCCAGGCCTTGTTCATCCCTGATAGGATTACTGCTAGTTACAACAGTAGAATGCAACATGGCACCACAAACTTCTAATATCACAAAAATGCAGCTGATTCCTTTAAACCCAAGTTGTTGTTTTTTAAGGAGAGTCGGAGGACTCTTTTGGTCCTCTTTACAAGCCAAGACATACGCAGAGGGATCAAGGCGCTGGTCAAAGCGACCTCTCAAACTTTAATCTCCTGTTACTTACAGGATTATACAAACTACCCTCCCTTTTTCAATAAAATACAGTCTGCACAGAGATTATTCTTCTCTGCTCCTTCCCAAAGCTTCAGCATGATAAAGGAGCTTAAATGTGGCCAAGTTTCAAACAGACCAACATTTTCTGGATGTGTTTGAACAGTTGCAGTTAAGATTTGTATTTTGCTACATATTTAAAGCAGAGTCCTGTGGGTACCTAGGTATCACAATATTTCAAAGTAACAAAATATTCATCAAAGTACAAGGGCCTACCCTCGTTCCATTAAGAGACTTCTCTGTACACCAGTAGCAAATGCATATATTGGTAATGAGAGAAGTGTGAGAGAAAAAGAAAGTGATGACAGTCTAATTCCCAAGTCCAGCAAATCAGAACCTATTGTAAAGTGCCCTGGGAATATGATTGAAGGATGGTACAAACGTTGGCTCTCTTCGCCAGTAAAACGAGATGAGTGCCGCAATCCCAGAGTCGTTCGCCACTAGACTTAACTGTCAGGGTTCCTTTATCTTTAGCTTTTTACAATATTTATGATAAAGGAAATAAACAAACAAAATATTGCAAAGGTGGTAGGGAAGAATAAGAGTGTTTTCAGCTGAACCTTACCATGCATTGCGTGCCTCTGATTGGTAAGTAGCTGTGCCAGTGCCCAAAAGGCATCCTCTTCGTTTAAGTACATCAGCAGGATAGCTGCAATCTGACTCATTCCTTGGCAGTAGCTCACTTCCTGAAAGATCCAAAGATGCAGACACACATTACACAAGATCGGCTTTACAGGAGAGTAGACATTACACACAAAAACAAAAGGCAACTTTCCCATAAGTACATTGAATGGGACACAAGTTTTATTCAAACTATTCAGGCAAGGGGGTGACTGGTGATCCTTGGACATGGGAGTCTGCAGGAATTTTTCTGGGGCAGCAGGCCCTTCTGGCAGATCTGGCCCTTCTGACTGGGCAGCAGAGGACTGAGTAGACCTGGTCTCTGAGAAGCTTGCATGTTAGATCTACCCCTCTCATTGTTTCTCAGTGGGTAGACCTGCCATCTGCCTATGTGTAGACCAGGCATCCAAAAACATCCCCATTTACCACTGAAATTCTCCGTTCTTTCCCTGGCTCACTTTACTCACTCCAGCCCTTAATCAATTGCACTGGTGTTCAAGTCAGCTTCACAGCACCCCTCTGCCCCCTCCAATAAAATCCCCAATATGCCATAATGAACTAAGCTTCAAGGCTGCCATACACTATACCTCTACCCAGCAAAATGCATGTAACACTTGGCTGGTGTCATTCACTCTTTCCCTATTACAGTCCTGCTCCCTGCAATATAGGCATAATAATGATGGACTTTTATCTGCCTTGGCATTTGCAGAGTAATAAAAGTAATTCCTTACTTTTGCTATAAGTGAATTCAGATAATATCACAACCATTATAGGCAGCACTGCATGAAACAGAAACACTGCACACATGCCACTTTAAATTCTTGCTGGATAGCCAATTCAAAGAATAGGATAAGCATCTTCTGTTAAAGGGGGTGGGGATGAGTCTCCCCATGCTCATGGAAACAGTAAATTCTGTAGCTAATTTAAGCATATTCACTCTTCTCTGCCCTGTGGCTGGAAGTGACTTAACTGACTGTAACAAATTGGAGTCTTCAGCTGTGAAGCAGCCACTGAATGCAGTAAAAGAAGTCACAAAGAGAATTGACCAATATCTTCCATTCAAATAGTAGGTCAGAGTCACAGAAAAGCTACTCAGAAAATATGATGATAGCAAGGCCCAAATATGCGGCTGTGTCTTTCTTTGCATCAAAAACAGAGCTATCACAGCATGGTTGAAATCTGTAGAATTTCCAGTTTCATGAACAACCCCCACGCCACCCCCATTAATTGTTTGGTTTTTGCTTCCAGCATCATGAATGTTTCTAGCAGCACCTGGAGCTAAAGATATGAATGCAATTTTATAAATATACCATCCAAGAAAACGATATACATTGAATCAAGTACTTTTTCTGTATTTAATGACCCTGGGCTCTTCAAGATAACCTCATTTTGCATTCCTCCCCATTTGCTTCTGCCAAATTTGTGTGGAGGTTATACATTGCCACTGTTTATTGAGCATTCATCCTGATTTGTTTGTGTGGAGGTTATGTGACATCATCTGACCCTGCTGTTATCCCACAATTTTCATTGCACTTTCCCATCATTTTTCTATGCCACTCAATACTTTCTGTACATTCATTTCTTGTACAAGAGCAGTATGTTTTGCCAGCACAGAAACTAAATTATTATTCTAAACAAAACATTATTGCCATATAACACTTTTCAGTTTCCTGCTGAATCTCTTAACAGCTTACCGTGTTGTAAACTGAGTAGGCTGACAGGACATGAAACAAGGCTTGTTGCCTATTAAAAAAAAAAGAAAAAAAAGGATGAGTAAAAACAACAAAGAGTGGGATCTGCCCTTTTTGGGTATTTTATTTTTATTTTTTTACCAGTTAAGGTGCTCATTATTTGTAGTGCTTCAGAAGAAGGATATTGTAAACGTATGAGAAACTAAGCAGTAGAACTGGCACACTGCACAATGGTAACATGTGCAGTGTGTCTCCCCATATGGAGAATGCTCTCCCAAAGGAAGCTTGCCTGGCAACTTCACCAGGCAAAATCATTCCTCTTCTCCCAGGACTTTGGCTAATTAAACAATATATGGCCCTTTAAACGGGGGGGGGGGTATTGTTTTTGTTTGTTACTATGGTGTGTATTCTTGTGCTTTTATACTGTGAAGTACCCTGTGATCTTCGGATGAAGGGCAGTAGAGAAAATTAATTAATAAATAAATGGGTTGTGGAATCCAGTGAGCACACAAACAGGTTGCAATATTCTCAAGGGTGCACTAGCAAGAGGGAGACTCTGTCCTCTTGTCAAACATTATCTCTAAACAACATCAAGATGATTCTGTAGTCTGCCAGTTCTTGCCTTCCACCTTATCCACTGAAGGTTGGAACTTAACATCCTAAGCATGTTTAGGAAGAGGGAGGACTGGAGAATAGATTTGGAATGAGAAAAGGTGTGCCCCCCTCCCTCTGAAAGCAATGGGGTGACGTCTGGTTCTTCAGTAGTCCTGCATGCGGCAATATTTATTTGCTACCATTTCTTTCCTTTACTTAAATTTTCTTGGAATCAAAATGTACTCTATTTTTTCTTAATTACTCTTACATAATCATCTCCCTGGAGACTTACATGATCTCTGTTCATTATGTTTTACACTCTTCCTTGACATTTTCCAGGAACTAGAAGCTTTCATTAAGCACATGAAGCAGATGGACAAAGGATCACAGATAATATATATTTAAAATAGGAGGGAAGATCCATGAGAAACTCACTTTACTCCATAGCGATCCCGGAACATGATGTGGTTTCGAAAGGTGCGATTGACATCAAGGTCTATCTGCTTGATTTCTGATGAGAAACTCTTGGCTTGTTCTTTCATTTTCTGCATGAAGGAAGATGGGTTAAAGCATTAAGAAAATATTTTGAAGTATCTAGAGGTATCGGAATCTCTGCTTTTGGATGGCTTAACAACATAGACAACAGAAAACACTAACTGAAGTTGATGCACATAATTTGGAATAATACAGCAGTCAAATAAGAGGTGTTACTGGTAAGGAAAATCTACTTATGTATTTGGTTTAACTAACTGTTAGAGGGGGTATGGCTAACTTTTTTGGCCAGAGGACCATATTCACCCTTGGGTAACCCTCTGGGGTTTCTATACCAGTTGTAGGTGTAGCCAGCCCACACTCTCACATACGTGAGAGTGAACCCATAAATAGCACACAGCCAATCTGTGAGGATCAGTTGAAGGGGGGGCGTTAATCATCCCCTTGGCTCTCAGCAAATGTTTGGCCAGGGAGGAAGCAATTTGCATCCTTACTAGGGTGCTGGGGCTCTAGTGTGTCTACTTTATTTCCCCGCTTTTTTCTCTAATGCCACCAATAATATCTTGTGGGGTCTTGGGAGAGTTAGAAAAAAATGCTCCAAGAGCCGGATCAGAACCCTGAATGCCGGATTAGAGAGTTTGACTAGGACCAGGGTTAAAATCTCCACTCAACTATAAAGTTAACTGGGTGATTTTGGGCCCGTCACTACCGCTCAACCAAACCAACCTCACAAGGTGTTTGTGAGGATAAAATGGGAAAGGGGAGAACCTTGACCTCTTTGGAGGAAATGAGGGATATAAGTGTAGTAACAACTAACTAACCAAATAACTCAAAAGAGACTTTTCTGTTGTTTAGTTATCTGGGGCTATCAAGCTATGACAATATTCAAACGCAGACAAACATTCTGAAATACCGTACTTTACAGTTATCTCTTAGGCTAACTGTCTTGATGTAACTTTTTGCCATATCCCACAAAAGTCCCACCCCATAAATCTTCCCAATCTTCCCAGAGTCTTTTTCAAACTGCAGGTCACTTATGTTATTATTTTTACTCAAGGGAACATGCTGGGAAGTTCATCATATTCTATATAAGCCAGTCTACTTGCATGCCAGACACTCCTGCTTTTCAACATAACCTTCTGTGTCTGCCCTCAAAGAAGCACATGGATAATGCATTGCACTTTCATTGATGGAAGCAACACACAGATGCCCTTGGTGAAAAATCAAACTGAAGGAAAGAGTCCGGAGTTGGCAAAATGAATTGCTGACAGAGAAGGAAGAGTGTGCGCACACACTTTGGTCAGACACATAAACTCCAATCTAGAGGGGCATACAGAATGTATTTTGCATAGATGAAGGTGTGCTGGATTTGGATATGAAGCTGTAGCCAAAGCAAGCATGAATCTTTGTTTCTAGTACAAGATGCTTAAAATAGTTTGGACGACAAAGGCCCATAGATTTTATTGGAAATCAATCCTTTCACATTCCCTTATGAAAATCTGGCTCCGACTTCCTTTGAGATCACGAAGAGCTAATTTCTGGCCTCAGGTGGCACGAAGGATGAGGAGGATTATGAAGAGCCGATTTCCTGGATTTATGTTCATGAAAAGCCTATTATACAGTGAGTCTCTTGTTTATTGCAGACCCCTCAGGAGCTTAGTTAAACTGCTTGTGACTTTTGTTTATTCTAATCACTTGCTGTGTGACATGGCTAGGTGGGAACATCCCCTGAACAGGATGCAAAGGCAATAGTTGAGATAATTCTCTTGATAACCATGCCTCAGAAGTACAGCTGTTTTAGTTAGTGGAAGTAGTTACTGGGAAATGTTGGGATCAGTGACACGCCAGTCATGTGTTCATGGGCAGCATGTGATTACTTTATACTCTGCAACTATCTGGATGTTTTGAAAGAACTGATTTTGTTACGCTCTTTTGTAACCAACTGGAGTCTTATGTCCATACTTCCAAGTTCCACTGATAGGCTTACAAAACATTGTTTATGGGACTCAATGGCTCAACAAAATAAGAAACTGACAGATTCTCACAGATGAAGCACCCTCCTCCTTCCTATGTTCTGAGGAAAGAAACTGTCTGAATTATTAAACACTGTACATCAAACATTTCTGAGGACTCCAGGAAAAGAGGATGAGGGTTCTACAGAGAATTATTTGTGGACCCTGTTGTTAACTCCACTCTGGCTTCAGAGAGCATGTGGCAATCACATGTTCTCTCTGAAGTTTTGGCCCATACTAACTGTGGCATATGCATATAATTTGGGAAATGACAGGGCCGTTTGAATCCCCCCTTCAAAATGCTTTTGCTTTTCTTAATAAACACCACTCTCATTTGCAGTACAGAACTGGCTGTATAAATGGTGCCTCTGCTTTCAAAAGAAGCACCTTTGTGGCTTTTATATTATGAGACACAAGACTGGCTGTGGAAAGAACCTTGGAGAAAACAGGACAGCTCAAAAGTTTTCAGAAGACAATAAATCTCTTGCATCTGTGACAAACCTGCTTTTAGAAATGGAATTCTTCCAGGGGTGTCAGTGACAAATCATTGTTGATCAGGTGCTTGCTACCAAGGAAAAAATCCCTAAAATTGGGATTAAACTGAGGCAGGGAGATATTGCTAAAGCATATACATTTTTGTTTAAATGATACTTACGGTACTTAATTTATTTTTTGTATATAAAAAAGGCTAAAAATCATAAATAGCATATGGGAGAAATCTCCAGAAAAAAACATGATAGATACCGGTAAGTAAAAGTAACATATAAAATGAAGGTTGGTGTTTAGTCTGATTATTCTGTCTCTCTTCACAAGTTCCATATTATGTAGCACACAGTTCCCAATATATTGGTCATTGATGCAGATTATGCTGTTTTTATTAAAAGGAAGAGCAGCCTAGAAATCAATGGATAGAATCCTGAGATAAACAAAACTCTGCTCATGCAGTAGAGCTTTCCTGGTTCCTCTCCTACTATCCCTTGCCTGCCCTCAAGCTGTTTCAGAGAGTCAATGAGCCCCTGGAATGGCACACAATGCGATTCAAGAGCCTACAAGAAGATAGAGGAAAACTAAGATAATTTGGTGGGGCTGCCTTGCACAAGGAAATTTCTGTTCCTGCAAGATATCTCTGGACCCAGGAATATGTATTGAATAGTGTTTTAGCAGTCAAATATACTTTGTTTCACAGAAGTACAGATATCTTTTAAAATCTTAGGTTTTCACACCCATATTTTTCATTTATCGCATACAGTCTGCGTGTTCCTCAAGACTGTGCTTTTGTAATGGGGATATGACAGGTTTTCAGCATTAGGGTTCGCAAAGTCTTGTGTTTGGGAAAATGATATTCTTCTTCCTGGGAGTGATTCATTGCTGTGTGGAATATGATTGCAGAAGTATCATGGTCATCAACTGGATAACTTTGGTCACATAACTAATTAGGACAATTTAGCATTTGATAAACATTTTTTAAAAACATTTTTTCTCTCATTCATTCATTCATTTATTGGAGGGTATGCATTCTCCTATTGTACAATTATGCACGGGAGAGCTCACTTACTCTCTATCTTTTTTAAAACAGAGAAGGGAAGCATTGAACATTGTGCACACCATATTTCTGACAGTCAAATGCCTTCCTTCACTTTTGAATTAAAGTAAGTTAAAGTGCTAAAATATGAAGAAGAAAAAAGCTGAAAAACTTACTGAACTGAAAGGGGGGGGGGGGAAGCAGTTGAGCGGTTGGCTGGTTAGTGTCCCACCATACCATGAACTTCTGTGTTGTATGAAACCAAATATGACTTACCTCATACTTTCCTTCATTCTCCATCTTAATGTTTTCAATATCCAGCAGGAGCGACCAGACTTGGCCTCGCACCTGGAGGGGAATCCCTTTATAAACTCTCCGGAACATCTACACAGTTTTAAAAGAAAAGTAAAGTAAATTAGAACAAACTGCTGAGGGGTGTGGGTGTGTGGGTGTGTGTTTTAAATGTAACAAAACTTGTAGCAGGTTGGCAGTGCTTATACAGATTATCTAGTCATTCTGAAACGAAATGTCCCAGTCAGATATCCCTTGGGGGAAGCAGAGGGGAGGAAGTCCCACTGCACTAGCGGGACTCGTCGTGCTGACTTCAACTAGTGCAACAACTTAGTTGAATCCGGCCCGTGTGTGTGTGTGTGTGTGTGTGTGTACATATATATAATGGTACTGGTATATTTAATTTTTGCTCAAGAAGCTCCAAGAATCTTGAAACAAGTGACTGTCAATTCAGCAAAACTTTTTTTTACTTATTCCTCCTCTCCATTTCACTCCCCTCAAGTTCTCTAGGGAATAATAAGACGAATAAGGCATTCTAGAGAAGGCCAGACCTTTAAACAAAAAACAAAAAACCCCAGCATTGGCTCTTTCATTATAGACCAGCAGTGGGTAAGACTCTGCAGTACAGTCACAGAAATAAATGGGTGATGTTATGACTAGCACCAGTGCATTAAGTTTCACTTATATTCTTTGTTGAATCATGATTGTTTTAATAAGGCACCTGAATACACAAATGTGTGTGTGCGCGCGTGTGTGCACACACACACAAAATGTAGCAGCAATGTAACACAAATTCTGTATCAGGAACAGAAGCACTTTGAGACATGTATAGAATCATACAATTACCTCTTTTTACATAATTATTTTTACTTCTGAACAGGAAAAAGAGGAACTATGCAAGGCACTGAATCCTTTACCAACTGCTCAGTATAAATCCTATTCTCCCCATTCCACACCACCCAGCTTCTATGGTTTCACCAGAACTTGTTCAGATATTAACATACTTATTTGTGTATCCATAAAAGCTATACATTTTTCAAACAGAGAGATTTTTAGGGTACCATATTCCCCACTCACAAAAAATTCCATGTTTATACAGTGTGATATCTGAATACTACAGTATTCCTAACTGGACTGGAATGTACTGATTTAATAAGAAAATGAAAGGTATGGGGGGGATATTCCATGAGCAGAGGAAAGATTAAGCCACAATAAATACCAGTAGATTATTAAATCAGGGTACAATGGCAGTACAAAAAATTATATGATACCCAGGATTCCAGGCCATCCCAGGCTAGTTAAATTCCTTTCCACATTGCTTCAGAGATCAGTGGTAACTGCATTTTCTTGTACAATTAAGAAATCTACAGAGAACGGAGCAGATTTTTGCTATGGTTCTAAAAGTTAGATTTTTAATTAGTGCAAACCCAACAGCATGTGGAGTAAATAGCTTTCAGCACTACGTCTCTGCCAATATTTCATTTCAGAGCATTGCAGGGAGCAAGTGCCCAACAAGATAAAATTATAATGAACAAACTGCCTCTAGTTTATCTATCTGAAGTTCTCATCCACTTAAAATCAAAGTTGTAAAATGCCTCAGTGCCCTGAGAATCACTAATCACAGAAGGGCAGCCATTTCACTATTAAAATGTGGACACATACGCTTCAACAGTACTGTTCTACGTTAAAAGCTGCATTGATGTTGTCACTACCACCAAACAAATACGGGTGTTCCCTAACAACAAGCCCTGGCTAAACAGGGATGTGTATCTTCTGTTAAAGGCAAGAAATGCTGCTTTTCACTCTGGTGATGCGCAACAGTATAGAGAAGCCAGAGCCAAATTGAAAAAGGGCATTAGGAACGCCAAAGCTATGTACTGCCGGAGGATCGAAAAACATTTTGAGAGCTCCGACCCTCGTCGAGTATGGCAAGGCCTGCGACAAATTACAGGGCAAAATATTAAAAACGAACTGGCTAGCAGCAGTGCGCACCTGGCTGATCAACTGAATCAATTTTTTAGTCGCTTTGAGGAGGGAACTGGAACTACTGTCACTACAGCATTGGCTACCAGCACATCATCAGAAACTACTACTGATAGACAACCATTTTTATTACAGACCTGTGACGTACAACGTGCCTTTCGGAGCATTAACATTAGGAAGGCAGCTGGACCGGATGGAATCATGGGACGGGTTATTAGGGACTGCGCTGCAGAATTAGCTGGTGTATTTACGGACATTTTTAACCTATCCCTGTTGCAGGGTTCTGTCCCTACCTGCCTGAAGACATCGATTATAGTGCCAGTCCCCAAGCAGTCAGTGGTGGTATCTCTCAATGACTATAGACCAATAGCCCTGACATCTGTCGTTATGAAATGTTTTGAGAGATTGGTGCTAGATCATATTAAGGCTGGTCTTCCATCCACTCTAGACCCGTTCCAGTTTGCATACAGAAGAAACAGATCTACTGATGATGCTATTTCCATCGCTGTCCATACTGTACTGAGTCATCTAGAACGACAGGGAACCTACGCAAGGCTGTTGTTTGTGGACTACAGTTCTGCCTTCAATACAATTCTGCCAGACAGGTTATTTCTTAAAATGACCAATTTGGGTATACATCAGAAGATCTGTCTGTGGGTAAGGAATTTCCTGACTGATAGGCCGCAGACAGTGAGAATGGGACCTTACTATTCTTCTACTCTAGTATTAAGCACAGGAGCCCCTCAGGGATGTGTGCTAAGTCCCTTTCTCTATTCCCTGTACACATTTGATTGCACCCCACTGTATAAGTCCAACACAATCATCAAATTTGCGGATGATACAACAGTGGTGGGGCTCATTAGTGAGAACGATGAGACTGCTTATAGGAAAGAAGTACAGGGGTTAATTCAATGGTGTAAAGAAAACAATCTTATGCTTAACACCAAAAAACCCAAAGAACTCATAATTGACTTTAGGAGAAAGAAAAGTGTATTTTTACCATTGCACATAAATGGCGAGGAGGTGGAGAGGGTTGGTAGTTTTAAATACCTGGGCATTTATATCTCTGAGGACCTCTCATGGACTGCAAATATTAATATGGTTGTGAGGAAGGTGCAGGGGAGGTTGTATTTCCTGAGAATGCTCAGGGGACTGAATCTATCTCAGCACCTACTTCTGTCCTATTATCACAGTACCATCGAGAGTGTCTTAACCTATAGTATATTATCGTGGTATGGGAGCAGCTCTGAAACGGATAAAAAAGCTTTACAGAGAATAATTAAAATTGCCCAGAATGTTATTGGGCTCCAACTACCAACCCTGGATGAGATCTTCACGTCTCGCACTTTGAAGAAGTCACACAATATCCTGAGAGATCCCACCCATCCTGCCCACAACTTCTTTGAACTGTTGCCTTCGGGCAGAAGATATAGGACAATGAAAACACGAACCACACGCCTTCTGAATAGTTTCTATCCAAGAGCTCTGATTACACTAAATAATGATCTCAGGGCCAGTTGCAAGGGATAGCAAGCAGGGAGTAGGAAGGAATGAGATAGGTTTTAGGTTATGTTATGCCTTTAATAGGTTATGTTATATTCTGGATTATGTTATGTTTTTATAGATTATGTCTGAATAGGATGAGAGTGTTGGAGATACGTGCAAATGTGTATGTGAACCCGGTCTTTGGGTGGGTGTTTGATTTTCGTTGTTGTGTATACTGTGTATATACGGACAATGACAATAAATTTATCTATCTATCTATCTATTAAACAAACTGTTTTAGGAAACAATAATCCACCCTGAGAAAGCAATTCCCTCTTTCCCTTCATGTTTTTCTCTGACTCTTAACATTTTGAAATAAGGAAGGATTTCCAAAGGCAACTGAAAGGATTTGCTCTGGATATTTTATTATCTTTTTATATCTTTTTATTCTGTTTTTTTATTGCTATCTTATTGTTGATAAATGCTTTGAGACCATTTGGTGAAAATGTAGAAGACAAATTGAAACAAATCAACCTCTGGGCGCTGAATAATTTTACACAGTATTCCAGAGCTGCTCACCTACTTCTTAGAAGAAGGTGCTTACAAGAAGGAAGCATTTTAACTTTCCTTCATTTGGATTAGGGCCCATACACTCCTAAAATTACAGTACAACCAACTCTGCAAATAACCGCTTGCCAAATGCCACTGATCATAATCCAGGCCTCTCTCCCCATCCTTTTCTCTGAAACCTGCAATTCAAGCAAAACTAGTGCAATGTACACGTTGTTGAACAACTCTGACTAGGAGCACTGATATTTGGGCTCCTTTTCCAGCATGATAAGATGCTTTAAGGCTGGTGGACTTTTTTAAGCCTTAGGCACAGTTGACTAAATGATCCATTTTTACAATTATTATAATATTTATATCCTGTTTTTTCCCTAGTCAAGGAGACTTACACAGATAAAATAGAACAAGCTAAAAACACAGAAAAGACCATTATTAAAATGCAACCGAACACTAATTACAATGGGACGGTTGTAGCACTAAGCATTTGAGATTTCATATGTAGGGTGAATGACACAAAATGAACACTCCACCATTCTGTAAATGCTCTGTTGGGTCTAGTATGCTTCTTTCTGTAGTGAGCTAGCCATTCCCAGAATGTGCAGAGTCCTAATTCCACAATGCCAAATTTGCTAATAAATGCCAATTCAATTTGGGAGTCTCCTTTTGCTTATTCTTATTCTTTAGTCTGAGTATGACAGAGCATTATTCACCACAGAATGTTACTGAACAGTCAGACTCGGCAACTGGGATAAAGTACTGCTGTAATCAGAGGCCCAAACAATCTTCTTGAAAAATTTACACACATTTCTCATTCACATAGCTGAAAGTGGCCAGAGGACAGAAACAAAGCCTTCAATGGCCTACACAGTTTTTGGCACCACAATTGTGAAAAGAAAGGACACAATACACTCTTCTGTCTTCCATTTTCTTAAAATAAAGGCTAGAATAATGCTACTAAAATGTGTTACAATTCCGTACCTTTTCACTGTTTCTGTATTTCCCCCATTTTCTTAACATCTTCAGCCATTTGTCCACTCGTTCAATCTCCTGAAGTTTTTGCTGGAACAGAATTTTGAAAGTGTAGTTTGAGGGTTTATTTCCAATTGGTGTGAGCAAGAAAGGAGGGAGAGCTAGATATCCAAGCCATCAGAATATAGAGTCATATGGTACATGTAAGACATTAGCTTTAAATATTTTAGCTTTAAACTGACAAGAAGGAATTTCCCCAACTGCATTCATTCATTGTGCTAGAAAGTAGAAGGTTCCAAATAAAATTTTAGCTCATATGCTACTTTAGGGGTAGAAAATCATTAGTTCTCCAGATATTACTGGACTACAACTCCCATCATCCTTGACTATTGGCCATGTTGGCTGAAAAGGATGGAAGCTGGAGTCCAACAGCATCTAGAGAGCTTGAGGTTAGGCACTCCTGTTGTATTCCATCAGTATTATTATCTTGAATCTCATCCAAACTGTACAATGTATGATATGGCTTAACACAATGCTGTACAGCTAGGTTTGCATAAACCTACTCTGAGCATGGCAAATGCTCTTTCATTCAACTGCAACAGCACATATGACCCACGAGCAAGATACTGAATGATTTGATGGATGATGGACTTGACCCTAAAAATGACAGGAAGAACACAGAGTGGGGTGCTTAGACTCCCTCAATCAATTAGGTTTGCAGATCTAATGACTACAGTGCCACACTTTCTCATCTCTAATTTATCCATAATGTCCAACCATCCTTCTAATTATTGCCAGCAAAATTTACAAGAATTCAGCAGCTGACCATTCTTCCTCAGGTCAAGCTAAGCTGCAGCAAGCAGCCTCCCAGTTTTCAATGTGAAGCTTTGGTGCTGCATTTTAGAATCTACAGAGGAAATATAATCAAACCTTCCTTGTGATGAAGTTCCATTATCTTCATAGCTGACTAAGGCCTAAACACAGTCATCTGGAAGTCTAATTGAAATCAGCAGGACTTGCTTCCAAGCAAGCGTGTTTAAGTTGGGATGAAGAGCTATTATTATTTATCCAGAGAGCTAAGATTCTTATGTTAATAATTGCAGTGTCTTTCATCACTTGCTACTGAAAAACAAACACAGCAGCAGCAGCTGCCACCTCCCCCCAATTACTCCAGAGAAAGAAAAGCTCCCAGTTCCTACCTTCTCCTCCAGAGCACTGCGGGTTGGTAGCTCATGCTCACTGAAAGATGAAAAATTCTAAATGAACCAATGCATAATGCAAGAAGTGTACAAGCAAAGTGATCCTGCACAGAAAGGAGGTCTGACGGTATGCTTCAAATGATGGGGGGCACGGATGAACATAGGACTGTATCCAAAGTAGCACTAAGTGACTCATTCCACCAGTGCAAGGATTTCTGCTTGTGCAATGGAACTTTTCACTGCTCTTCTCTCCCTTTACTGCCCAAAAATCTGTTATAGGGGCTCCTCCAACCCTCCACAGCAGATTTGGAGAGGCCACAGGGTGTGTATGAGTGAAGAAGGGAGGAAGTTACACTGTGTAGGTGAAAATTCTTGCACTGATGGGATGCATTAAGTGGAGACTACCCATAGCAGCTTACTGGTCTACTACTTTGCTAAGGAGGCTCTTATTAGCTTGACCATTTCTTTATTTCACATTTGATCAATGATGCCTGGCCCCAGAAAATGTGGAAACAGTGTCAGAAGGGAGATCTCCCTTGGGCTCCTGTTCACAGATGGATACAATACATAAAACAAAAAAGCTACAAATTTGCATAAACCACCATAATAGAGGTGGCAAAAAAGAGGGGTTAAAATGATACCCACTCTGAACACCTGAATCCCTCGAAAGGGCAGCTGTAGAAAGCTGAAACACTGCTGCATTTCCATGCTTTTCAGAAACTGTTTACATCCTAAGTATATAATCATTTTTGTGTATTTTTCATCTTTGTTGGAAGCTGCCCAGAGTGGCTGGGGAAACCCAGCCAGATGGGCGGGGTACAAATAATAAATTATTATTATTATTATTATTATTATTATTATTATTATTATCTGCCCATATAAAGGAAACACAAATATTGATTTCCAAGGACCAAGCTGTCTCATAGCTTAGCTGTACCTTATCATGGCAGGAGTTTTCATAAGCAACAGAAAGTAATTTCCTCTCTGCTTCTGACTTGCACAAGTGGACAAAAATACTAGTAAAGGCACTTGGCTGAGGTACAGTGGTGGAGGACACAACCATGACAGTGAAAGGGATGCAACTGCGGCCTTCAGCACTAGTTTCAGCAAAATGAAGAGGACAAGAAAAGGGGAACTTACTGCAAAAACCCAAATCTGTCAGTGACTTTGTAGAGAGTGAAGTCAGCATCTTCCCATGGATCAATCTGAGCTCCTTCCTGCCTTCCCTGTAAAGAAGGTTGCACAATAGTTTACACTATGGTGACTAACAGATGATATCATTTTGAGAAGAAATGGAGAAAATTTATGACGCCATCTGTTCTTACGTCATTTTTACTCATCCAAGACTAGCCATGGGTTGATTTTGTGTCTTTTATAAACTGTAAGCGTAAAGCAGGTCAGCAAAGTGATGGGTGGGTATGAACTAATATTTGTACAATGGCAGCTATCTTGCCTATGATATGCACTGGGCACAAATACGTTGTTTTTGGTTGCAAGTACCTCACTTCTACAATGACTGCAGTATTCTTCTTTGCCTGTGGCTCAGCATGAAACTGGAGGGGACCATTTAAAAGATTATACCTCATGGACAAGAAGGACCAAGGATGGGAAATGAAAATGTAGCACTTATAGCTTTCCTTATCATTGTGTTTTGAGACCCTGAACCCTTTACTGAAGTTTCTGCTTTCTGCAGTGTTGGGGAAATACATGTCTGGCTGCAGAACCAGAGGGCACACAGCGAAAACAAGGTGCGTAGTATATAGTCAATATACTGGGGCCAATTAATCCCTCACGTGCTAGGACCCCATGGTCCCTTCATCCCTCCAAAATGTATGAAAAACCAAATAATAAGGATGATTTAAAGATGGATGGCATTGATCAAGGGGAAATTGAATATCCCATATTGCTATTTTCTGAATCTGGTTGACTTACTACAAGTTCCTGTGTTCTGTAGACAGTTAAGCCAAAATAAATCTTTGGTTGGTAGCATATTAAGTGGGAGGAAAGCAAGGTTCTTACCTTCTCATACTTCGCAATGATTTCTGCCCTTTCCTCTGCTATTAAGGCATCTATATCTTTCTTCATGTCAAAGGCTGTAAGAAAAGGAAAATGTGAACAATGACATTATATGCAGCAGTCATAGCAGGGGGTGGGGTGGAAAATGTGTTAATAGAAAAAGGCTTCACTTACAACTAAAAGCCATAAACCCTATCCTAAAGCTAAATAACAGGCTTAAGCTGAAAAATCCCAATAAAATATATACTGAGTTCATATTGCACAACTCAAGCTTTTTGGAGGGGGGAATCACCACCAGCAAGAAAAAGACAGGCAACTAAAGGTAATTATTGCAAGAAGCAGCACCTTCAAAATCTTTCCAGGTTTTCAATCACATTTATCAAATTTTCTACAGATAGGAATATACATATAGTATTATTGATTTACAATGAAAATTATATTCCATTATATATAACAATACGCCAACTCAAGTCCACTTACAACAGTATAAAATAAACATAGCAAAAGTATAAGATAAACAAAGCAACTACAAAAGCAATAAAACAACAGGAAAGGGTTGACTTGAAACTGTGACTCATACTTGTGATGACAAGGGGAATGCAACTGCAATCCTAGACACTCTCCTAATCAAACATGTTGATAATGCTTTTTAAATAGAGACAGAACGCTACCAGTCCAGAATTGTTCAAGATAAAAACCAGAGTTAATTTATCCTGTCGTTCACTCATACCAGTCTAGCTGCATGAGACGACAGCACAACCACTGTGTTAGAATACAGGCCACACCAAATTCCCATAAAGCAGAGGTCAGGATTGAAGGGCAATTAATAACAAAGAAGAACGGAGAGTGCTGAACACCTCTCTCAACTAAAATTTAGTCCTAAGCCCATTTCTTTTGGCAATTTTTCATTTTGCATGGGTTACTTCTAGTCTTGGGATACCTAGGGCAAGAAAAATGTCCCTGAAGGGGAGGGTGGTACTGAAGATATATTTTAGCACCTATTCTGCATTTATGAAATCCCCTGTGCACCTTACAGGAATTTAATGGTAACCAGATACTAAAATACAAGACTGCCATCGGTTCATGAGGGAGGGCAGTGGATGCACCTCCATCTTCTGTTGGAATATCTGGCACCACTGGGGTGGGGGTGTCTTCTGATAAGACTATTCGTGCCTCTCCCAAAAAACAAGCTTGCCCCTCTTATCCTATTTCTCCTCTCTTTCTGATTAGTCATGCCAAGAGGTCTCCGTAGGGCTCATGACAGGTACACTCCCGTACGCACAATAAATCTGGTTATGTGGTTGGAAAGAACAGATAGTTAACATCAGGAGTAAGTTCTTCCACCTAACCTGATCCATGGAATAGGTTAAGCAGAACATTATGAAATGGCGGCCAACTCTGTGTGGTACAAATGCTGCCAGGATTGTGAAGGATGACAGCTGATCACAGAACATGGAGGTGTTTCAGAACTGGTTTTAAGCCTCCTGGGGTAGACCTCCCCAGCAGAAAAAGGCATGCAAATTGGGTGAAAAACTGTAGAGCAGCAAAAATTTGGGTCTCTTTCATCATGAGATTCCACCTGCACTGAAAAAGTCCAGGAATAGCAGAAGTCTCAGCCTTTTGAGTCTCCCTTTCTTTCTAAGTAGGTCAGTACACAAGCTGGAAGCCCTAAATAATGGTAACCCTTTATTTAGCCTCAGTATTTATTCTGCTCTGTCAAAAGCACTAAATCCACATAAGCATTCGCAGGAAATGAAACAAGTGAATGCTGCAGATGAAACACGGAAGGCCTTACCTGAGATGGTCCTTACGTCTCACGCTGCACGTCTTGAGGCTGGGGTGGCCTCTCCCTCCTTGATGCTACCTGACAGAAAACATTCCAAGTGCTCAATGTGCCTCTTTGCATCCACCTCTTCCGTCCGCAGCTGGCACTTTCAGGCAGTCATTAGCATGGTCCCTCTCAGCCTTGCCCACCAAACTCCATAGTCAGTGAAAACTTTTCTGCTTTTTTCTACACAACTGATGAACATTGGTCAGGTTGAAAGAAATACTGCTTTTCCTTTTTATGCAGATGATCTCCTTCTTCCAATGGATTGACTGGGGAGGAAATTTGAAAACAAATGTAACTTTTTAAGCCTCAAAAACTATGACCCCCCCCCAAGAACTGAAATGCCTTCATCACAAACTGAGTTCTCATATTACTTAGAGTAAGGGAGCAGATATGTAAAATCCCAGAGCAAAAATCATGGCCACTGTGCTAGCTAAAACCACTGTCTAGTTTAGCATTATGTGTTAACCTGCACTCATGGCTTATCTCACTCTAGAAAAACCATGAGGTTTCTCCTTCATTTATTCCTAATGACTTGTTTGGGGTAGACAAATCTCACGCCTGGGTCTGCCAGTGGGAAGCCACCAATTAAGGGATTTCAGGAAGGGGCTGAATTTGTATAAGATAATATGTGCAGACGTTCACAGAGACAAACTATTCCTTATGCAAAACACACTGTATGCTTTAGATAGTACATAACTTTGGGTACCTCTGATTTAGCCCAATCTAACAACATTGTATATTTTGTGATACCAGTTATACTTTTTGATGAGCTAGCAAAAAAAAATTATTCTGAACAGTAAATAGTTGTTCATGCTGTACTGCATTTTTTTTTAAGGGTGGAATTTTGCTGTCACTTTACAAGGCACTCATGATTATGTTTTTAAAATGAATGAGAGAGAGAGAGTATGAAGCACAGGAGTTAGTATTTCTATAGTAGCATGATGTCATTTGTCGACAATTTGCTTATGTAAGGGAGCTCAGTTTAAAGGCAACATCTGATTTTAATCAGCCTTTCATTTTCTGACATGGCCGATTGGCTCTCAAAATCAGTTGTGTTCAGCACCAGTATCTTCAGGTCATTGAGGCTTCAAAGAAATGCTATGCATCAGATACCCATAAAACTCATCCAAAAACCCTGCCCGCCTCCCAGCAAGTCTTTGCTCATGTCAGCAGAAACGAGATGTTAGTATTCTTTAATGGGACAGATTGAGTTGGATTTCTAGATTTCTGGAAAAAACTAAGAAAGAACGTAAAGAAGTAGCACGCAGCACAGCACCCTAGCATAGAATGGTAATCACAACACCAGTTGTTAAACTGATTCTTTTTAACCAGTTTGATTAGAGAAGAGGGAGCAATTAGATTGAGCTATATGACAACAATCGAAATGACATGCAATGGCCATAGATCAGTGTCTCTGAAAGCAGATCTGCTGCAAGAGGGGATAGAGAGGGAAATCCAGTTCTGTTCACATTTGAAAGAAAAGAAAATCACAAACGAATGCAGAAATTTGGAGATCTGAAGATCAGAAAAATGTGAAACTGAGAAATTCCTCCATCCTTAGCACCAAGGAAGTGCAAAGCAAGGTACAATTTGGAATACAAAAAGTGGCAGACCAGGCAAGATGTGCTAAACTCACCCACGCTCATCTCAAGAGTGGGCTCCAGTACTGAAAGCAAGTCCAACTGGAGAAAAGCAGTTGCAAGGGGAGTATTCAGCATTCAGCCGCCCATCCCCGCACAACACTAGAATTTTAAATTGTATCACCACACCCACTAACAGGATGGAGCTATGTTAGGCCCTCATACTATTTTGCTATAATTTACATGATCATTCTATTTTCATAGCAGTTGGGAATCACTCAGAGCAGTGGCACATCTAGCCGCGCAGGTGCCCAGGGCAGTGCACATGCCCTGCGCCCAGATGAGCTGCCCATGGGGTTAGGGCAAGCCTCCTATTGGGTGGGGCAAGCCAGGGCACAGAGCCTTGCCGCTGCCTCCCCCTCAGCTGTACAGCAGCTGAGGAAGAGATGGCAGGCAGGCGCAAGCCCCTCACTGCGAGCCTGCAGGCGCCTGAGCCACCGTGTCACTGCCACACGGCACATGCCACAGTGTGGCAGCCAGTGCCCCCCCCCAGCTACACTTCTGACTCGGAGCACACTATTTGTTTTTTCTCCATGAGACTGGTGCCATTTTGTCACAAAGTGACATTTCAGCTTGAAATTGACAATTTTTTCAACTTTTAGAATGAAGAGCACATATGAAATAACTCTGTTCCACTCATGACCCCATCCACTCAAAGCATGTTCTCAGCAGGATGATTCACTACCTGTACAGTAATCCAGGCATTCACTCGGTCTTACTCGACCTGACCCAGCATCCCTGACTCATCACTTGTAAAACAGCACAATGCAATGGTCAAACCTATTTGCGTTGTCAAGCAATGAAGTAGTTATAATGCTTACTGTGGAAATGATGAGATTTCCTATGATCTCTATGCTAACTAGGAGTGGTGCTCAAGCTATGTCTTCAGGGTTAACCTGGCACCTTCCTAGCCTGATAGAAAATGTAACAGAATGATGGCAGCTACTTTGATTTCACATTGGCATAAAACCTGTTCTGCTTAGTGTTATAAAGGTATACCCTATGGCTTGGCATAAGGCCAGTTCAACTAAATTAACCTCTGAGTCTGTGACCTCCCCTTCCCACCAACCCAGATAAAAGTTTAAAATATACTTTTGGATGAGCCGTATCAGCAAAAGGAGTTGACAGAAAATAAGTGGGAAGAAATTTTTGTAATGAGCAGTAAAGACTTGATAGGACAGGTTGTACTCCCAACTCCTACTTTCTAGAGACTTGATGGACAGCTTAGTGTTGCTTCTGCATGTTAGAAGTATACTTTGCTTTAGTTTAAAATGAAGAAACAAGATGTTAATAAGTAGGTGTGATACTGGCGGAGACAAACTACTTTAAATAGAAACTAAACTCTTCAGTGTCAACATTTTCTTCCAGGACTTCTACAGCAATTCTTCATCTGCTATTTTTAGATCTTGCAGAGGATAATTAAGACAAACATTTGTTTTGCTTCAGCCTAGAACTCATCTGCCAGATGATGGAAGCTAAAGAAGCAAGAGTTTCTTTTTTGGTCTTGGTTTAAAACAAAAAAACAAAACAAAATCCCTTTTACTTGACACATACATTATTAAATTGTACAGACCACACCAGAAAAAGTAGACAAACTGAAGAAAAATCTTTGGCGCATGCAATTATTTCTTAAGCCCCTCTCTCACAGATTTTACAAACAAATTAATCATTCTTATGTTCCATATAGGATCAAATACGTGCAGCTGTGCCTTTGGAAGTGTTTTGTACACACACAAATATGTCCTGTTCCAAAACTGCCAACCACTTTCTCCTGCATTTTATTTTCATGTTTGCCATTAAACCTGATTAAAATAGTTCCTTTAAACACCCCTGAAATTAAGAAGAAAAGCATCTGTGGCCAATTCAGTCTTGATTTGTGGTTTGTTAAACTGTGGCTTGGTGTCATGTGCAAGCCAGGCCAGTGCTGTAATATATTGTTGTCCCTTAATCTTTCATAGAACTTGGTTAAATATGGTTGCTAACTTATCTCTGCACTCTGTTTTAAACATTAAGCAGTCACAGCATGTAACCTAGTATTTCATGGCCAGAAGGGGGAAATCTTATTGGTTCTGACTGATAATTTCTTAGCCCAAACCAAACAATAACCCTCTTCTTAAAAGTCCCATAACCTGTATGTTGCAATTAAGCTGGAAACGACTTCTAATTCTGGAAAAATTCATCAGGCACACTTTATTATTACAAACAGTGTATCTTAAATCCCTGCAATGACTTTTGTATAAGGCTGCAGATCTCTGCAATCCACTGTGTCCATGGGGTCTTATGCCTTAAAGTCACTTTACGTAATGTCCCAGAGCTGTGTCAATTAACATTAACAGTTGGATTTTTTCCTGATGTTTATAAGTAACAACTCACATTCTGGAAATATGTTCTAAGATGTTTTTTGTTTTGTTTTCTAAATGAAAGGAAGGGATGGCTTCCTCCCCCCCCCCTTTTCTGTGGGACACTGAACACTGGAAGAGATGCTTTCTACACTTACTGGATATCAATTATTCAATAATGGTATTTAAATAAAACTGAGGGATAATGAGGTTCTGAGACTGTCTGAAGCCAAACCCCCGAGAATAGAAGCTCAAGAGAGTCCTTGAGCTGTTCTTCACAGCAGGAAGCACTGAGAAAATTAGCTGTCACTGTGCCCTGACTGAACACACATACTGCATGAGGTTTGCTGGCCTGCTAACTTCCACTTATGCTCTTTCTGCTTGGCCTATATTTGTGCATGTATGAGGCACATGGTTTTTCTTTTTCATCTAACCTAAAGGCTGAGGACCAGTTATAATAGGAATTGGGAACCTGTGGCCCTCCAGATGATGTTGGATGAAAACTCCCATCAACTTGAACCATTGGCAATACAGGCTGGGGCTGACTGTGATGTGGTTCAACAATGTGGTCTAATAACCACCTTTTATTCTTCCTGCTATTCTGTGAAGTTGGTTAAAAATATATATGTCTTTTTCAAAGTAACTACAGTGAGCTACACAGCCAAACAGGACTTTGTCCCTTTCCTTACTGAAACCCACTTCTATCAACTTGATCATACATAAATAAAATTGGCCAGAATATAATCTGGTTGCAGCTTTAAACTGAGTCTTGCGGACAAACATCCTTTAGCATCTCTGCTGTTAGAGGGAGTGTGTGTGTGTGTGTGTGTGTGTGTGTGAGAGTGAGAGAGAGAGAGAGAGAGAGAGAGACAGTCAGATATTTCATCCATCTCTGCAAAGACAAATACTGTACCACATTTTCAACTTGCTAAAATGCAATATTGCCTCTCATTGGCATATTTTGCTTGACAAAACATGGCTTAGTAGTCCTGGATATTGTCTGCCACATCAGTGATGCATAGCATGATTTCCCCTCTGCCCTAACCCATGTCAACTCATTAGGTTTTTTTATTTATCATTATAATAAATTTATTTGGTAGCTGTGCTTTCCCTGCTATGCACACCCAGTCTAGACTGATCGTCAAGGCACAATTCACCACCCCCTAAAAATCTGGATAAACAGCCGTTAAAACCCCTCCTTCCATTAGCTGTCTGGGGTCTGTGTTTCCTGCTACTGGTTCACAGACATACCACATTATGGATAAAAGGTGGCTGGGACTCAATTGA